CCCCACCAAGTTAACATATAAAATAAACCATCACACCTAGGGGAGATGAATTGCTGAAGTTCACATGGCCAGCCAGATGAAAGTTTTGGTCTATACCTAGAACCAAGGATCTCTTTATCTAAGCCCAGTTCAGACCTGTAGTTTTAATACTAGTAACACTTACATTTGACTTCCCAGAGTGTCCAGTTTAAGCAGAGAAACCCTTTTCAACTCTGCTAAACATTTAGAAATCTGAGATAGTGTTTATCCTTTACCCCGTCCCCTCTGGCCCTGGGGATCAGCTCATAAACTCATCTGGGGAGGAGGAAGGACCAGCCTCAAGAATGTGTTGCTGGGATGCCTGCATGGCTCAGTCGTTAAGGTCTGCCTTCAGCTCAGGTCATGATCCCAGGGTCCTGGTATTGAGCCACGCATTGGGCTCCCTGCTCTGCGGGAAGCCTGCTTCTCCCTCTTCCACTCCCCCTGCTTGTGTTCCCTCCCTCGCTCGCTCTCTGTTAAATAAAAAAAATAAAATCTTTAAAGGAAAAAGAAAAAGAACGTGTTGCCGACATCATGAGGGCCAACTGTGTGGTCAGAAGACTTCTGGGAGGGGCGCCTGGGTGGCTCAGTGGGTTAAAGCCTCTGCCTTCGGCTCGGTCGTGATCCCAGGGTCCTGGGATCGAGCCCCGCGTGGGGCTCTCTGCTCGGCGGGGAGCCTGCTTCCTCCTCTCTCTCTGCCTGTCTCTCTGCCTACTTGTGATCTCTATCTGTCAAATGAATAAATAAAAAAATCTTAAAAAAAAAAAAAAGAAGACTTCTGGGAAAAACATAACAGAAGAAGGCAGGAGAGTCCTGGAGTGCTGTTTAAGGCAGAATTTACCCATTTTTGAGCCATTTTGTTGTTGTTATGTGTTTTTTTGTTTTTTGGGGTTTTGAGGGGGAGGTGTCTATGAAACAACCACGTAAGAAAAACAACAACAAAATTCTGCTAATGCTTGTATCTTTCTGTTTTTATTTTCTCTGCCTGGAAATAAAAGCAAGTGTTCCAGGGCGCCTGGGTGGCTCAGTGAGTTAAAGCCTCTGCCTTCGGCTCGGGTCAGGATCTCAGGGTCCTGGGATCGAGTCCCGCATTGGGCTCTCTGCTCAGCGGGGAGCCTGCTTCCCCCTCTCTCTACCTGCCTCTCTGCCTACTGTGATCTCTCTCTTTCTGTCAAATAAATAAAATAAAATAAATTTTTTTAAAAAGCAAGTGTTCCATTCATGTGAAAGGATCTTATCTTCTTGTCTTTCCAGAGGAGACATATAGGCCCAAATCTGAGGAAAAAAGACACCAAGTGCTACATAGTCTAAGCTGAGAGAGTTGCCAGCCAGAGCCAGCCACTGGGGCCGGTCCTGCCCTCAGGGTTTCCTAAGAGGGGTTGGGTTGATGTGGCTTTTGATAGAGAAGGTCTCTATTAATCAGAGTGTCCCAAGGAAAATTCTATGTCAAATCCTGCAGCAAGTTCTAAAAACTGGAAAGGAATTCAATACTCTTTTTCATAGTTTACCTATCTGGTAGGAAAATACAGCACAATGATAACTTTTAAAAATATTAAAAAGACCCCCGATTGGATTCTAGATCTTTCTTGTGGCTTTGTGTGACAATATGATTATAGTTTCTGAGTTCTGTCTTCTGAGTTTCTGAGTCTGTCTAGCTCCCCTGCTAGGAGAGGGCGTGAGAAAGGTATTCAGAACAGGACTTCTCCTCTTTCTCCACATCACTCACTCCTCTGAAGTCTGGGAGAAGACTTCAGAATCATGTTTGAGTTTTATTTATTTATTTATTTAATTTTTAAAAGATTTTATTTATTTATTTGACACAGAGAGAGATCTCAAGTAGGCAGAGAGGCAGGCAGAGAGGGGGGGGGGGAAGCAGGCTCCCTGCTGAGCAGAGAGCCTGATGTGGGGCTCGATCCCAGAACCCTGAGATCATGACCTGAGCCGAAGGCAGAGGCTTTAACCCACTGAGCCACTCAGGCGTCCCTTTTATTTTTATTTTGTTTAATATTTTATTTATTTGATAGGAGAGGCTATTGAAATGAGACGGATCTCTGAAAGTGTCTACTTGGTTGCATTATTTAGGGACCTACTCCATGGTGTGAAAGGAGGAGGTCTGACTTAGTATAGGTGCGGGCAGTTGGAAAAATACCACTTCCGGTTTTTACCCCATGGAGTTTAGATCTCAAATAAGCCATTTATCTACAAAATAATCCCAACAGTTGAGAGATGCCAAAGGCTCTGAAAGATGACCTTGTGATCTCCCAGGATGCTGCAAATCCTTGACCCGCCCAATGGATGTTAGAGCAGACACCTCCTTGTTCCTGGCAGCAGTCATCATCATAAATTGGTAATACATCCTTATTTTTAAGAACTTCTGTTAGTCAGTGACAGCCACACCCCTACTGGTTAGAGGAGTAACAAGGACCAGGCTGCAGACATTGTTAACCTCATGGTATGTGGAGTACAGATCTTCTTTGACTTGTATGGGGCTACATTCCCATAAACCCAACGTAGATTAAAATTTACTAAGTCAAAAATGCATTTAATACACCTACCCTATTGAACATTCCAGCTTAGCTTGGTCTTCCTTAAATGGACTCAGAACACTTACATTGGCCTACAGTTGGGCAAAATCATCTAACAAAAAGCCTATTTTAGAATGAAATGTTGACTATCTCTTATAATTTATTGACTACTGAAAGTGAGAAACAGGATGGTTGTACGGGTGCAAAGCAGCTGTAAGTGTATTGGTTGTTTACCCCCTGGTTGCCAGGCTGACTGGGAGCTGTGGCTGGCTGCCATTACACAGCATCAGGAGACAGCGTTGCACTGCATATGGCCAGCCCAGGAAAAGATCAAAATTCAAACTTTGAAGTAAGGTTTTGAATGAATGCATGTAGTTTTCAAACTATTGTAATGTCAAAATATCTCAAGTCAGGTCATCATAAGTTGGGAGATAGTCTGTACTCTTATTACTCAAGGGGTCATTGCAAGCATTAAATTGAAGTTAGGCATATAAAATGGTCAAAATTTTGTGAATTGATTGACTATACTCCGTAAGTGCCAATTATTTAAAAGAGTCTGGTACATAGACTCGAGAGCATACTTGTAGGTTGGGATGGCAGAATTTTCACTAGGCAGGCTACCATGGCTATTCTCAAAATACTGTAGCAGGACCCCATTTGGAGGACCTTTTCAGGGGTTTATTGAGGTAAAAACTATTTTCATAATATCACTAAGACATTTTTAAATTTTCCTTTCCCACTTTCACTCACTCATGAGTGTACCTTGGAGTTTCCAGAGGTACACAACAGGTGATGAGGTCATAGCTTCAATGTCTAATGGAATGTATGCTTTGGTATTGTTGGATTTTAAAACTTTTCTCAGTCTTGATCAGTAGTTACCAAGGACTGGAGGTGGGTGGAGGAGTGGACTACAAACGGATAGGCAGTAATTTTATTTGAGGTGAGGGGTGAAGTTGCTATATCTTGTTTGTGGTCATCGTTACATGACTATGCATTTGCTAAAATTCACAGAACCAAATAGGTGAATCTTATTCCATAAATGGTACTTCAGTTTTTTTTTAAAAAAAACCCAAAATTATTTTTTTTAAGATTTATTTATTTATTTATTTATTTGACACACAGAGATCACAAGTAGGCTGAGAGGCAGGCGGGTGGGCGGGGAGGAGGGGGGCGGTAAGCAGACTCCCCGCTGAGCAGAGAGCCAGATGCAGGGCTCTATCCCAAGACCCTGGGATCATGACCTGAGCCGAAGGCAGAGGCTTAACCCACTGAGCCACTCAGGCGCCTCAAAATTATTTCTTGATTTCAATTTCTAACAGCCTAAGTATACTTAGTTATAACCCACCTAAACAAAAGCTCTCAGTAATTTTTAAGCATACCAGAGGGTCCTGAGGCCTAAAACTTTGAGAACGAACCACTGAGCTAAAACATTGATTTCTTTTCTAAAGCAGGTGCAATCACTTGCTCCAGAGTTGGGGAGAATGATTAAAAGGGAGTGCAAATCTCTCTGGCTCTAAGATTCTAGAAGCTGTGTTGTCCAAAGTGGTAGCCACTGCCCACGTGCAGTTACTGAACGCATGAGAAGCACCTGGTTCAAATTGAGATGTACTTTGCACAAAAAAAAGAGAATGTAAATGATCTCTTTTTTTTTTTAAGTTTTTATAAAAACTTTTATAAAGAAATGACAATATTTTGGACATAGCGGGTCAAGTAAAAGGTATTGTTAATAATAATTTCATCTTATTTTTTTTTAACGTGGCTATTAGAAAATGTAAAATGTGGCCTCCGTTATATTTCTACGGGACAGCGCTATTCTGGAGACAGACTTGGCTGCCAATCTTGTTTCCACCACTTATCAGCTACTTCCTATCTCCTGCAAAGTATGGGTCACGTTAGGGCTGGTGTGAAGGTTGAATGGGACGAATGCATGTGACGTACTTAGCAATGCATGTAAGTAAACGGTAAGCTCGGTGGCTATCATCGAAGGCCTCGCGCTCTTCGGTGATGCGGTCAGAGATGGTCCTACGTGCTCATTAAAGGCCTTTCCTCCGCGACCTATTTACACTCCCGACGACAATAATAACTAAGGGTGGCCGAGGCCTGATCCCGCTTTCGGGCGGGCCTACCCTCTTTATAACTAAAAAGATTAAAATGGTCCCAGGAGTTGGAAGTGGGACATTTAAAATGCACGGAGCCAAAGCACAGGTTGAACACCCAGCGGGCCGGAGCCACAGGGCCTCCCTTGGTAACCGATGCTGACGCCGGTTGCTAAGCGGGAGACGGGAAAACAAGGATGTGGTCCGCCGGCTCTTGGTCTCCGGCGGCAGCTGCTTCCGGTTCTCGGGGGAGCCGGTCCTTTGTCCTACCTTCCCCAGAGGATCTGGGACTACGGCTGCAGGTTCCGCCGCCTCGGGAACCTTCCGAGCCCTCGGTCCAGCGCTGTGGTAGTGGCGGGGGCGGCGGCGGGTCTCCTGCGCGGCCGCGGGTCTCCTGCGCGGCCGCGATGCTGAGCACCCGGGCTCAGGCGGCGATGACCGCGGCGGACCGGGCCATCCAGCGCTTCCTGCGGACCGGGGCGGCCGTCAGGTGAGACTTGGGGGGCGGGGCGGTCGGAGAGGCCGGGGCCAGGGTCCCCAGCCTGGGCCTGCGGCGGCCTTTCACGGCGCTAGCAGGAGCAAGCATTCCGGAGGCTTCTGTGTCGGGCTCGGTTGGAGGCCCAGGCCCCGAAGCGGGACGGCGGATGAGCCTCCAGGCCCTCCATTTCTTCGGCAACGCCAATTCTGTCAGCCCTCCCCAGTGCTGCTAGCGCCCCAAATTCTCAGTGCCCTGCCCCCCACCTGCCATATCCTCCTCCAATCCTGTCCTTGTGCCCAGAACTTCCAGACACCCTCAGGCTTGTCAAAGCCTCGAATTCTGCCAGTGGCCCTCAGCCCTCTCAGTGCCGCCGCGCAGGCCTTCCAGGACCCCTTAATCCTTTCAGGGTACCCCCAGTCCTTTTGGGCTTCCCAGTCTTGTCGTGCCCTGGGCTGCCAGCGTTCCTCAGTCTTGCCAAGCTCCCCAGTCCTGCCGTGGTTCTCACAGCCCTGCAAAGCCACCCAGGTCTGCTAGCCCTTCCCCCATTTTGTCAGTACCCCTATTCCTGTCATCCTCCATCCCCCATTCAAGCCAGGGATCCTTTATTCAATGTGGGTCTTCAGTCTGATTTGTGAATCTCTGTCTTGCAAGGGTCCCAGAACAGATCAGGACTCCTTAACCTGTAAAGGCTTCCAGTTCTGTTAAGGTCTCCCATTCCTGCTAGGAACCCCAATAGTATGGGCCCCCAGTCGTGTCAGGGTCCCTCTTTCCCTTCTTTTCTTCATCCTCCCATGGGCTCCAGTCTTGAGAGCTGAACACTGCATCCCCATTACTGAACCTAAATGACTGAGACCTGTTGCTCAGCCTAGCTTCTTTCCCCTGGAACTGGAGCAGATTTAAAGAGCTTATTATGGCAGGGCTGGGAGTTCTCAGTGGCTGTCCTGTCCAGTGCCCCCATTCTGTAGATGGGAAACGGGCCTTGAGACGGTTTTGCCTGTGGCCTACAGCTGACCTCACAGTAGAGCTGGGGGAAAAGACAGATCTTTTTACTCCTAGACTCCACTGCTCTCCTGTGTTGTCGTTTTGCAGAGAGATGGGGGTTTCCAGAGTCACCAAATTTCACTGGGTTTTTTGTCCATACCTTGCCGAGGACCTGGGCAAGTCCTCTCTCCCATCCCTTCAGACTCTCTGTCCTTCAGTTTCCCTCAGGAGGTTTGTGATTTTAAGCACACACTTGGCATGAGTTCAGTTCAATGCTGCCTCACTCACTTTGACCAAGTTGGCTGCATCGCTAACATGAAAATTAAGATGATAGGGGCATGTGGGTGACTCATTCGGTTAAGCATCTGGCTTCAGCCCAGGTCATGATCTCAGGGTCCTGGGATCGAGCGTAGCATCGGGCTCTTTGCTCAGCAGGGGAATTTGCTTCTCTCTCTCCCCTGCTCTTGCTCTCTCTAAAGTAAAAAAAAATCTTAAAAAAAAAAAAAAGAAAATGAAGATGATAACAGAACCTACCTCTGTGGGATTGTCTTTAGGATGAGATAAGATTGTCACAGTGCCTGGCATAGAGTATGCACCCTTAAATATTAGTGTTTGCTTAGGGAATTTAAAGCAGTTGTATAGTGCTTTAGAATTTCAGTAATGGTTCTTTTAACTTTTCCAGGCACTTTTGTTAATACACCTGTTGTGTGGAAGTCAGCACAATACAGCACTAAGAAATTCAAGAATAGCTTTCCCGAATGCAATTGAGATGGTTAATACTTAATAATTGTAGTAGCTAATTTTTGTTAAGCCCTTACCTTTGCCTCGTATGACCTAGCGCTTGTTTGATTGTCGGAACTCCATGAAGCAGGTCTCATGGTTGTCCCCATTGTACAGGTGACAGAGATGAGCCTGAGAAGGGAAAATGATGCTCTAAGGAAGAGCAGAGCCTTAATTGAACCAGATTAAGGCAACTCCCCTTTCTTCTTCTTCTTCTTTTTTTTAAGATTTTATTTATGTATTTGAGAGAGACAGTGAGAGAGGGAACACAAGCAGGGGGAGTGGAAGAGGGAGAAGCAGGCTCCCCACTGAGCAGGGAGCCTGATGTGGGACTCGATCCCAGGACCCTGGGATCATGACCTGAGCTGAAGGCAGATGCTTAACCATCTGAGCCACCCAGCCTCCCCTCCCTGTTTATTTCTAAAAGATAGATTAATTTCTATATGTTTTCTCCAGTGTGTAATCATCCAGTAAATACTATTAGGAACCTCTTAGGTGCCAAATATGATCTAGAGACTTGGGGTATATAAAACAGACAAAGATCCCTGCCCACAGGGACTTTGCTCTCCAGTGAGGGACAATAACTGTAGTTAATAAGTGAAGGTGATAAAAAGAAAATGAAGAACTGGGTAGAAGGGACCAGCAGTGCAGGTTCTCACTGTTGGTTAGAAGTGCAGGGGAGGTATGAGAGAGAGCCATGCAGTGATCCGGGGAGTGGGGAGAGCATTCCAGGCAAAGGCCCTGACGTAGCCAGTGTGGTGCCAGCATGGGAGGCAGAGTAAGGGGAAAACCTGAGCTCCCCCTCTGAGTGAGACGGGGCTTCTGTGACCTGCCTTAAGCTTTAAATCCTAGTGTCTGAACATGCTGAGTTTCAAGACATAACCCTGTACTGTATGAGAATGTTCAGCTTGAACATTAGGGGTTTGGTGGGCCAGTCGGTTATTTTGATGAAATGTTATTTCTTTGTACCTGTATCTGTATTTACATGTGCTGCGTTTGGGATGAGGGAAGATAGTAAACTTATTTTCCTTTCTAGATATAAAGTCATGAAGAACTGGGGTGTTATAGGTGGAATTGCTGCTGCCCTTGCTGCGGGCATCTATGTGATTTGGGGTCCTATTACAGAAAGAAAGAAGCGTAGAAAAGGTAAGAATGAGGTTATCGCATCATAGTCTGTAGACTTGACCCAAGCCCTTACTGTCCCAAAACAGTACAAAAAGAGGAAGGCATTTTTTGTTCTCTTGTATCTCCAGTTTTGGGACATTGCTTCCTTTTAAGCAGAAATTATTTTTAATGACTCATTATTTTAGACCCTATTATGCAAAGATTTCTGTTCCTCCCCCTCTAAAATCTTGAGTTTGAGACATGCTCTGTAATGAAAAAGTTCACGTGGCTTAATTGTCTAACTGTTCTTCCTCTGGTGCCTGTGTTGTTCAGTAGTACAGCTGACAGATTGTGTGACACGTTTGTGGTTTCGCTGACTAGCTGCTAGTAAGGGTTCCCAGCTACCGTCTTTAATACAAAATTCTATTTCATTATTTTAAAATGTGCCCCCTTTTGTAAATGCTACTCTCCTTATGTTGCTTAAAATTCAGCTACAACAAGCAAACAAAAAAGGGATCGGTATAGCAAAATGTTGATCATTGTTAAATCGGGGGGGTGGTTATGATTAGAGTTGATTATATATCCTCTCATTTTGTGCATGTGTGAGAACCTTTGTAATAAAAAGTTTTTTGAAAAAGTTTCAGCAGAAAAGGGAAGTATGTCAAATTTTGTTGATCTCTTCGCAGAAAGACTGATCAGAATTTCTCTGGTGGTATCTTTCGCACTGATTATAAGAACAAAATCATTGTCCTGGGGAGCAACAAAAGAACAATGGTTTTCTTCTGTTCTGATGTTGCTTTCTTATCAAAGGAGAGAGAGAATGAGAGAGAGATGTTACAAAGTGTTTTGTACAAGCCGTGCCAGACACTGTGGTGGCGGTCAGAAGTAACCCATGACCGGGGACCTGTCCTTCTGTCGCTTACAGTCTTCTGAAGGAGCAGCATTAGGACCAGACCTTGGTACAAACAGAATGCCTGGCCCCCTGATGTCTGTGGATAAGGACTTTCTGAGATTGGGATTTTCGGTGTCAGGTTCCAGTGCAAAAACCCTGGCTCCCAAGTGGGAGAGAAAGAGTTGGTCCAATGTGATGTGCTTTTCTCTTCTTCCCCCAACGTTTTTCAGGGCTGGTGCCTGGCCTTGTCAACTTAGGGAACACCTGCTTCATGAACTCCCTGCTGCAAGGCCTGTCTGCCTGCCCCACTTTCATCAAGTGGCTGGAAGAGTTTACCACCCAGTACACCCGGGATCAGAAGGAGGCCCCCCCCCACCAGTATTTATCCTTAACGCTGTTGCACCTCCTCAAAGGTATCTAGCCGGGAACTTCAAGGGGATTGTGTGCCTTTTGAAAGCAGCAGCCCTGAGGGCAGGCAGAGGGTTAATAGCTTCTGTGTGAAACACCGATCATCATGGAAAAAGAAAACCAAAAAACACTGTGGGTGCAATAGATACAAACAGCTATTTAAAAAAAAAAAAAATTTAAAGACGTAACCATTTGTTTTTGAAAATTGTCAGTGTATTAACAGCTTTTTAGGGAAGAGAATAAATCCACTGCCACTTAAGCATTTTGGTTGTAAGAAGTACTCTGGCTTATTAAGTTTAGAAAAAAGAAGTGTCTTAGCCTAAGCGATAAGGTAGTTCACAGAAGAAATAGTACAGACTGTACTTAGGTAGATGGGAAGAGTATCTAATAGGCACTCCGATATGCAACTTGGCCGTCATCAAAGACATAGAAATAACCTTAACAGTGAAGTTATCATTGCGCTGCCTGTCAGCAAAGACTGAAAACTCCATGGTCCTGCCCAGCTGTTGGACAACATGTTCACACGTGCTGGTGGCAGGGTGACACAGGGCCACCTTTACGGAGAGCAGCTTGGAATGACACGGTGCTAGCTTGCAAAGTGTCCAGTACCATCTGACCTGGGAATTCCTTTGACCATGATTGACACTAGCCTGAAATGGAGTTGTAAGAGCCCACGAGCTCCGGAGTGGCTGACCAGGGGCCCTGAGCCAAGGGAGTCACTGTTATACAGGCTTGGCATGGGTTTGAAGAGGTCACCTGTCCACCTTCATTTTTAAACCAGCTTTTTGCCTGTATAACTAATTTTTCCTCGCATAACATCTCTTCACATCCCGAGGACATTCCACAGAACACAATTTGGGAAATGCTGGGATGTGTGCAAAGATTTCCCAACACCTGGTTACAAAGGAAAGCAGGGGAGGAGAGCATGGGGGTGTCCAACAGGAGAATGATTAAGCAGTCACTGGAATATTATGTAGCCATCATGAATCATCTTTGCCAAGTGTTTTTTGTTGTTGATGTTTTTAATGTGGGAGAGGCATAGGCTATAATGTTAAGTTTAAAAGAGCGGTGTTTGAAATATGTTGTATTTGACTTCAGCAAAGCAAAGATTTCCACAGATAGAGGCTGGACAGGAAAACACCAAAATGTTCACCTTGGCAATTTTGGTCTTGTGCAGCTGACAGTTTGGAAACCTTAAAACAAAACAACTGCATTCCTTTTTCTTTTTTAAAATTATTATTATTATTCTCAGGGGCACCTGGGTGGCTCAGTGGGTTAAAGCCTCTGCCTTCAGCTCAGGTCATGATCCCAGGGTCCTGGGATCGAGCCCCGAGTCGGGCTTCTCTGCTCCGCAGGGAGCCTGCTTCCCCCTCTCTCTCTGCCTGCCTCTCTGCCTACTTGTGATCTCTGTCTGTCAAATAAATAAAAAATCTAAAAAAAAAAAAAAAAATTATTATTATTCTGTTTTAAAATTTTCTTTTAATTTTTATTAACATATAATGTATTATTAGCTCCAGGGGTCCAGGTCTGTGAACCATCAGGCTTACACACTTCACAGCACTCACCATAGTACATACCCTCCACAATGTCTGTAACTCAACCACCCTCTCCCTCCCCCCCTCCCCCCAGCAACCCTCCGTTTGTTTTGTGAGATTAAGAGTCTCTTATAACAACCGTATTTCTAAAGCTCTCAACGGTAAGCATATATCCCTCTCACAGTCAGGAAAAAAACTGGATTTAGAAAACACTCAGTTCACTGTCGCTTTGCGGAGATGTGTTCCCTGGTGATCTCAGCTTGACACAGAAAGCGAGTTCTGCTCTTCTGTATCACAGGCAATTTGAAAGTAATTTCTTCTGCTCCCCTGTTGTAAGCAAGTACCATCCCAGAGCGGAAAGCTGAAATGTGGGCGGTACAACACAGGTTGAGTACCTGTCCCAGCATGACCACTGGTCTCCCCTCTTCACATGCATGACCCAGGGCTGGGAACCGGAGCCGTGCTACACCTAGAGTCTAGGCTCCCTTCCCTGTCTCTGCTTTTCAGGGGCATTTATTTTGGGTTTTAGAGATAATTTTTAATTTCACAAGTAACGCTTGACTACACTCTGCTGGTAAAAATTTAAAGCATCACGCATAAAGTGACAGTTCCCCTTTATCACTGCCCTGCTCCCGTTCCCCTCATTTCTTTCCAAAGAAAAATACAAATGTATCCTTCCAGACCATTTTCTGTGGACTTAAATATGTTTCTAAGCACCTGTAGAAATTATATATTGTTTTGTTTATGTTTTTTCATAACCAAATAGCATAATATCATCTATGGTGGAAGAGTGTCCGTTTTAGCACACATAGCCCTAAATTCGTCTTTTTCTCTTTGTGAGTTTATCGGGCTTATATCTTCTGTGGGTTGCCTGCTCATTCCTACTGCACACTTTTTAAAAATTATGGTAAAATATCCATAACATGAAGCATGTACCATCTTAACCATTTTTAAGTGCATGTTTGGGTAGCATTTTGAGTACCTTCACATCGTTGGGTAACCGAACCCACTCTTCTCTTCACCAGAACTTTTCCATCATCCCATCCTGAAACTCTGTCTATTAAGCAATGACTTCCCATTCTCCTCGCTCCCCAGATCCTGGAAACCACAGTCGTACTTTCTGTCTCTGAGTTTGATTCTGTATCTCCCAGAGGTGGAATCCTACAGTGTTTGTCCTCATGCTTCTGGCTTATTTCACTCAGCATCATGTCCTTGAGGTTCATCCACGCTGTAGTGTGGGGCAGAATTCCATTCCTGTTTAAGGCTTCAGAGGAATAATACCCCATTGTGTGTACATGTGGCATTTTGTTTGTCCATTCATAAGTCAAGGGACATTTGGGTGGTTCCCCCCACTGGCTACTGTGAATAGTGCTGCTGTGAGCATGGGTGTACAGATCTCTACTCATGTCCCTGCTCCTAATTCTTTTGGGGTCTATACTTAGAAGCGGAATTACTGGATCAGGTGGAAATTCTGTTTAATTCTTATGGGACTTATGCTGTTTTCCAGGGCAGATGCACCATTTTGCCTTCCCCTGACAGTGCACGCAGCGCTCTAACTCTCCACATCCTCACCAACACTTGTTATTGTCTGTCTTTTTGACAGTAGCAGTCTTGGGTGTGAGGCGATCATCTTATTGTGGTTTTGATCTGCATTTCCCTACTGAGAAGTATTGTTGAGCAGGAGTTTTCCTGTGTTTCTGGCCATTTGTATCGTTGTGTTTTTTGTGTTTGTTTTCGTTTTGTAAATGTCTACTCCAGTCCCTTCTCCATTTTTGAATTGGGTTGTCTGTGTTTTTATTGTTATGTCTCAGGCACTCTTAATATGTTCTGGATGTCAGTCCCTTATCAGACGTGCGATTTGCAAACCTCGTTCACTTTCACAGTTGCACAGTATCCATAATGGCAAGATACTATTATTTAGCTATTTGTTTGCCTCCGGGGCCTTGTTGTCATAAACGGGCTACAGTGAATGTTCTTATTTGCGCCCATAGTGCACACAAGCCTTTGTTTCCCTAGCATAGATCCTGAGAGAGATTACTAGAATATGAATTGTAGGATATGAAAAGTCGTAGATATTGCCAAATCGTCCCACAGCATTTTAGGCAAAATTAGGCTAAAGGGGACAGTAAAATTTTCCTTTGGAGGAAAAAAAGCCAACTGACAGGCTGCCTGAGGAGTGTAGGAGGAGAAAGGGAAGTATAGTTGCCTTCTGAAAGGCTCCCTTTGTTCTGGAGGGTAAAGGTCTGACACCAGGCTAGATCTGCCCTGGTAAAACAGGCCTCAGGACTTATCACTGACTACTGGGCTGCTGCTTCTCACCACGTTACCACCCAGAGGCACCACCACGTTCAGATCCAGATGGAGGTTGCTGAGAACCTCCCAAGTCAGAGCCTGAAGTAGTCAAAGGAATGTCTCAAGTACACTAACTGCAGATCAAAGAGAAGAAATAGGCTGGCTTCGTTTTCCCAGAGTTAATTGCATTTGGGAAGCTGCCCTGAGGTGGCAGGCCCCAGTATTTTTTTTTTTTTTTAAAGATTTTATTTATTTATTTGACAGACAGAAATCACAAGCAGGCAGAGAGAGAGGAGAAAGCAGGCTCCCCACGGAGCAGAGAGCCCGATGTGGGGCTCGATCCCAGGACCATGGGATCATGACCTGAGCCGAAGGCAGAGGCCCTAATCCACTGAGCCACCCAGGCGCCCCTGGCCCCAGTATTTTTATCTTCCATACTCTAGCAGTCGTGGTCCAGTGAAATATACTGTGGTAGGGGGCCAGCAAGATCAGGAAATCAGCAAACTATGGTGTGCGGACCATGTCTGCCCCACTGCGTGCTTTCGTCAATAAAGTTTTATTGAAACATTTGTGCCCATTTACTTGCTCTTTATGGCTGCTGGGGTGCTTTGATAGCAGAGTTGAGTAGCTGCTGCAGAGCCCGCAAAGCCAAAAATATCTCTTGTCTGACCCTTGACAATGTTTGCCAACCCTTGATCTAGCTGTAACTATAATGTAAACTCATAAGCCCATCACACTTGTGTTTTTGTTCATTAGGCTTGATTCTACTTAGGACTGAAAAGTAAACTCAGGGGCACCTGATTGGCTCAATCGGTTGAGTGTCTGGTTCTTGATCTCAGCTCAGGTCTTGATCTCATGGTCATGAGTTCAAGCCCCGTGTTGGGCTCTACACTGGCCATGGGGTCTACATGAAAGAAAGAAAAGTAAACCCCACAGCAGTCCCCTTCAGGCTGCCACATACGACTTGGTGCTTTACCGTGATAATCAGAAACTCCAGGGCGGATGGACACAAGCGAAGGCCCTGTGGCCTCAGAGAGGGTCCGATAGAGGCGAGTCAAGCACTGAGTGTGGCTTGGACTAGATGAAATGTTTAAGGGCCCTTCTGCCCTCAGAGTTGTGAGTTAAAACCATTTCATTCAGTAGAAATCTTGTAACAATTTATATTGAGGCAGTAATTCAAAAAGCTGAAGCCGGTTTCTTCATTTAAATGCTACAGGCTCATGAAAAAACCACATTCACTCAGGAAACACACAGTGTCTAACAGCCCTCTAAGCCTTGGGTGAGGCTACAGAGAGGAATAATGAAAGAGCTGTGATTCCAAGGTGAATTGTACAGTGAGATGCTTAATTAGCTTTGATATGTTGCGCGGGGTAGGTTTCCTGGTTTGGTGTTTCGCCCGTGAATCTAACAGTTGCCTTTCTGGTTTCCAGCTCTGTCCTGCCAAGAAGTCACCGACGATGAGGTCTTAGACGCAAGCTGCTTGTTGGATGTCTTAAGAATGTACAGATGGCAGATCTCTTCCTTTGAAGAACAGGTGAACACCCCATTCAAAGTCCTGCGCACTCACGCGCTGGGGCCTGCACTGGCAATGAGGGCTGAAAACTAGCCTCGATGCTGCGGCATGAGGAATAAATGCTAGTGTTGACCTTGCACTTGCCTGGTCTGAGCGTACATTTCTCTGGCAGTTTAGGACTCTGGGACCAGATCACGAACGTTGTTCCTGTTCTCGTGGTCAGACGAAAAAGACAGCTGTTTTTGGTTTTGGTTTTGTTTTCCCAGTGGCTGGAAGGTTAGCAGGATAGGGTTCGAACAGTTGCCAAAGAGCGAGCCTCTGTTTGGTCCTTGAGTGACTTTGCGCTCGATTACCTGGGTCCTTTGGAGAGCAGCAAGCAGGTGGCTTTACCATAAGAGCTGAGAGATTCAGGTGAGACCCTTTTTTGAACCACATCCTCATTTAAAAAAAAAGAAATCCGTTTTTAGAGGCTAGATTAATTGAAGTGGCCCCCGACCTTGAGCAGGTGTCATGAGCAGCCCCAGGGCCTTACTCCAGCCCCTCGGACCCCTTTTCCCACAACTACAGATTCACTGCCTTTTTTGGTCCTGGCCACCGTCCTCCTCCTCAAGACTGCTAGTCTGGACAGTGAGTCTGGCCGAAGCTGAGACGGTGAAGTTGTAGGGATAGGTCGTCTTACCGTCCTCCCTGGCCACATTCCGGGCCGGCTTCGGCCAGCTCTGTGTTGGGTGCTCCTGCCTCACCTGTCCAGACAGCGGACCTGAGAAATGGGAGATGGCTGTTAGGCCCCCAAAAGGGTGGGCTGGGAGTGAAAAGCATTTAAAAATGCTGGAAAGTGAGGTGGGAAAGCTTTCCAGCTCCCCTTATTTTTAAAGACTACCTCTATTTCCATCCTAGGCTGAAGCCAAGCAGGTGTTCCTTTTTTTTTTTTTTAAAAGATTTCGTTTATATTGACAGAGAGAGGCACAGTGAGAGAGGGAACACAAGCAGGAGGAGAGGGAGAAGCAGGTCTCCCGCTGAGCGGAGAGCCTGATGTGGGGCTCGATCCCAGGACCCTGGGATCATGACCTGAGCCGAAGGCAGATGCTTAACCCACTGAGCCACCCAGGTGCCCCCAGGTGTTCCTTTTTAAACACAGTGTTGATGGGTTCAACTCTCTTATAGTGCGTCTCGATGAATCCCTTGTCTATTGAAATGTTTTTCCACTTAGAAAATGCTTACTAAATCCTCCTCTGGTAGCTGACATGATTTAGCCTCGTTTTCCTCTCCCTAAACCGAGTGAGTGACTGCGATTTAGTCCCAAGGACCTCAGGTCCCTTGTCTAAGTCCTGCTCTTCTGTCAAGGACCCACCGATGTCCCCGTTCCTCTTGGGAAGTGTTTCCAGCAGCTTCAGCCTGCAGTCATCACCGAGCCACTCAGTGCTGTGGTGTGCTTGGGAAAGAGGCAGGCGTGGCTGGCCATCGGCCTCCTCCCGCCTGGCCTGGGGCCTGTGCGCATCTTCATCATTACTGATCTTGTCAGTCAGTGGCAGACTCGCACTCCCACCCACTTTTCGGAGCTAGAGCCATGGGGGACATATCGGGCCAGGTGCTGGACTCGTGTGACTTCTCTGTGTTCATCCCCATGGCATGCCTGTAAGGACTCACTGTTACTGTCCCCATCTTGCAGAGGAGAACATTGAGGTTCAGAGAATCCCAGAGTTACACAGCTGTTAAAGGTGCAAAGGCAGGATTCGGGCCACTCTGGTGTAGAAGTGCACAGCGAAGCTACCCTCTGCTTCAAGACATTCCTTGTCTCAAGGCCAAGTAGTTCCGTGGCTGAGAGGGATAGAATAGGGTTTGGGTCTGACTCCAGCCTATCTTGGGATTCTTCTCCTTGGTGAACCCCTGCTCCTGCTTCAGATGCCTTGTCCGCGAGCCTCCCTGGATGAGCCAGTCCACCTTCAGGCTTAGCGCCGCTGCTAGATCACTAGCCAGGCTGCCCCATCTACCCCTGGGTTGTGAGTCCCTCCAGGGCCTTGCCTCATTTATCTTTGAACCTCCCATCACTCTCTTGCTAACTGCTGTTCCTAGCCTGGGAGGGGATTCATGGATACATGCCGCAAATGTTTGTGGAATGCCTGCCTCAGGTGGGGCCTGTTGAGGGCCTGGGGTCGTGGTGGCAAATGGGACTTGCCGGGCTCCTGCTCACAGGGAGTTCATATTCTAGCAGAGGACTGTGGATGGTAAAGAGGTCATTTCAAGATCCACTAACAAGAAGAAAAGTGTGCTGATGTGCCAGTGCGAGCTGGGGGGCCTAGAGCTGGGGTGGGGGGGGAGAAAAGCAGTGCAGAGACTCCCTTAGGTAGGGAAGGCTCTTCTGGAGACGTGAGGTTTTTGCTGAGACCTGAATTCTGAAAATGAGGGAGGCCTGTGAGGAGCTGGGCACAGAGTGTTTCAGACAGGACCTCGAAGGGTGAGAGGGTACCACGTTTGGGGAAGGGCAAGGGGGCCAGCATGGCTGTGGCCAAGGGCAGGAGGGCAGTCGGGGGGAGGGGCTCAGACAGCGGCAAGGGGCAGATTGTGCGGGCCCCCGGGTGCCCTGGGCCGGAGTTGGGCTTCTGTTCTGTGTGTGGTGGGGAGCCACTGGCGGCCTGGAACAGGGATTGCTATGCCCTGATCTGTGTTTTAACAGGATGTGCTGTACCAGGGAGACCATAGTGGGGCAGAGGGAGCGGACAGGAAAGTAGGGAGGCCGTTGCAGGCATCTGGGCTGCTGATGGCCTGGCTCAGACTGGCGTTGAGGCAGGGGAGACAGAGTCCTCTGAAATTTGGGTGTGTGTTGGAGGTAGAGGACCCCCCCAGCTGCACTGGCAGAAGGTGGAAGTGGGGGTCTTGTGTCAGGGAGGGTCCTTGCGGGAGGGTCTCCTTCAGGACATGCCTTCTCAGCAGAAATTTGAAGGATGAGAAGGAGGCAGCTGTGTGAAGATGGGACGGGAAGAGCAGGCCCCGAGATGGGAACGTGTGTGCTGGCTCACCGTTGAAAGCCGAAGAATAAAGGCATCTACCTCTTAAAAGATCACCCTGGTGGCTGCAGGGGGAGCACAGCTCTCAGTGCCTCCAGAATTCCGGGGAGGAGAGACCCGCCCATCCCTGAAGAGCCAGGGATGGTTTTGGCTTTTGGGGAGAGCAGCCCCCTGCCATATGATGAACAATTCCATGTCCAGGTGTGTGCCCCAAAGAACCGGAAGCCGGGACTCCAGCGGATACTCGTGCACCCATATGCATAGCTGTACTATCCATGACCGCCGAAGGTCGAAGCAGCCCCGTGTCCATCAGCGCAGGAATGGATACACAAGATGTGGGGGGTGTGTGTGTGTGTGTGCGTGCATGTGCGCGCGCGCGCGCGTGTGTGTGCGCACATGCGCACACATGCAATAGGATATATATGCCTGTATGTGCTTAGGTATTTATATACACACACAAAGGAATATTACTCAACTTCACGAAGGAAGGAGATGCTGACATGGTCTACACCGTGGGTGAGCCTCACAGACTTCGAGCTCAGTGGAGCCAGTCAGTCATGGAAGGACAAACACTATGATTCCTTGTGCAAGTTCCCACAAGGAGCCAAACTGCTGGACACAGAGGTGGCCGCCAGGGAGGGGGTGGGGTCAGAATTATATGGGGACAGAGTTTCGGTTGGGAAAGCTAGATGAGTTATGCTGATGGTCACACAACAGTGTGAGTGTGCTTCACCCCATAGGGCTATGTAAACAGGCTCAGAAGGCAGCTTGGATGCCACATGCGCGCTTTACCACAGTGAAGCAGCCCAGTGGAGGTCAGGGTCATGTTGACAAAGCTGAAACAGGCTCAGAGACAGCTGGTGTGAAGGCAGCCCCCCCAACCCCAGCTCGCTCTCCTTCTCTCTCCCCTTGGGTGGCCTTTGGGGTGAAAATGTCTGGGATATAAAGTTCCATTCAATAGGCTGAAGCTTGAGAAGGTGGAAAGCAATTCTGCCCTCTTAGCTGCAGGATTCTGCCTGGCGGTGCACCCAGGGCCCCGTCGGGCGTCTCTGAAGCTGCTTTGCCCTTTGACAGGATGCCCACGAGTTATTCCATGTCATTACCTCGTCCCTGGAAGACGAGCGGGACCGACAGCCCCGGGTCACCCATTTATTTGATGTGCATTCCCTGGAGGTAAGCCCGTAGTAGTTACAAGATGTGTGTGTGGTTTGTGCCTTTTTCACGGGGATGGATAGGGAACGTGAGTATAGTCCTTGTACGACTCTAAACTCGGAACTAAGTCTCAGTAAAAATCAGGAGTGGGCGTGGGGCTGGGGGATTGTCTTCAGCTGCAACCTTTGCAGTTGGTGACTTTGGTTAGGGGTGTCAGGGCTCTTTAAAAGGATTTCATTACTGCAATTTGTCTTGGTTTGGAGAAGAGAAGGTATTTTTCCCTCTATTTAATGCAGGGAACAAGGAGCCACAGGAATGCTAAATGAATCCTCATTTCCCTGGAACATGATAAATATTAGGGAGTCGATAAAAGTTAACTAATAAAGGAGTGGGGAGGAATGTTCCAGAGACAGGAAATGTGTTTTCCATTTAATGAAAGATTGGGTACGGTTACTAGCCAGAGAGACTCATTAGGGCTTCTGTTAGGATCTCTGGTTAGAAACTGGGTTTAAGTGGTGCAACCAGCAGGGAGACTCGTAAGCTTTAGGAGCAGGGTGAGGTGGGGTAAAAGGGATCGCAGCTGGATTTTCAGTCTGGTTTTTTTTCTTTTTTCCCCTATAGCAGCAGCCAGAAATAACTCCTAAACAAATAACCTGCCGCACAAGAGGTAATCATTCCCCTTGAACTAGAACATGTAAGATGGGTACTTTTGAGATGTGACAGTGATTTGCTTGTTTAAAACAACTTTTTTCCTGGGGACATCCAGTCCAGCTGGAGCTGTGTGTACTTGCAGAGGAGCTTGGGTTTTACAGACAGCTCTACCTTGTTCCCTTGGGCCATCTTGAATTGTTCCCTCACACCTTGCTCTGTTTCCCACCTGGGAAAAAAAAGCAACGGACTTATTTCTACTTCCAACAAGGGTTTCCTTTCTACCTTCTTGAACTGATCTCATGAAGAGCTCCTTAAGCTGAAACTGCCATGTCCTCAGCAGTGATCACAGTCCTCGTTAGGAGGAGATGGTTTTTTCTTTCTTTTTTTTTTTTTTTTAAAGATTTTATTTATTTATTTGACAGACAGAGATCACAAGCAGGCAGAGAGGCAGGCAGAGAGAGAGAGGAGGAAGCAGGCTCCCCGCGGAGCAGAGAGCCCGATGCGGGGCTCGATCCCAGTACCCCAGAACCATGACCTGAGCTGAAGGCAGAAGCTTCAACCCACTGAGCCACCCAGGCGCCCCAGAGATTGTTTTTTTCTTAAGACCTAAACTTAAGGGGGAAAAAAAAAGACATGTGACTTCCGTTATGCATCACTAGTAATAACAGTGACTATCTTTTCAGGCCCAAACTGTGTGATGCGCCCTGTAGCGTCTCATTTAAGCCTCACAACAGTGGTGTGAAGTTGATCGTGGGGATAATGGGCTAATAATTGTCCCTATTTCCAGTGAACCAAGGTTCACAGAGATGAAGTGACTTCCTGGGTCATAAAACTAATGAGAAGCTAAGCCAGGACAGAGCCCAGGGCTGCCTGACTATAGGGCATGTGTTTCTGACTAGCCTACCATACTGTTGATTACTCCAACTCCCATCTTATAAAAAAAAAAAAAAAATTCCTGTTTTTCAGAACTTGCTTACTCTGATGATTTTCAGAAGTTTATCTCCCTTTCTGGAATAGTCTCTCGTGGTGTCCTTCCTTGGACATCTAAATATCTTAAACATCTAATAAATACATTATTCAACACCAGTTCCTTTTTTTATTTAATTTTGTTTCCTTTCAAGTCTTTATTTAAATTCAAGTTAGCTAACATATGGTACAAATTCCTTTTTTAAATGGGCTGTACCCATTATACAGAAACCACATCGAAGGACTTGCATAAATTTTCCTGTGAATGGGATGGGTTGTCTTTTTGATGGAAGTCCATAAAGAAAGCTATTTCAGTTTACTTTTCAGGAACATTTATTTCAAAGAGGGAGTTACCACCAAATACTAAAAAGGAGGGTGAGCTTTGAGGTTGGTGCCAAGGTGGCACACGGCGAGACATGTTCTGTGTTCCAGGCTCACCTCACCCCACATCCAATCACTGGAAATCTCAGCATCCTTTCCATGGAAGGCTGACGAGCAACATGGTCTGCAAACACTGTGAACACCAGGTAAATACAGTACCAGTGCTTGGCTGTTTTCTGGTGAGGTTCCCTTTCAACTTGAGACTCGGGAGGCATGGAGTGTGGACTGATGTTGGTAGACGGCGTTTGTGGTCGCCTGGCTCTGCTTACCTCATGGATAGACCGCCTCCCTTTACTCAGTGCCCGCATGTCCTTTGACCCTCTGTGGCATCTTCTGCACTGAGAGTAGCAGACCTGAGTCTTGAGGTTGGGTCTACACTGACAGTAGACAACAGATTCTGTTGTTTGGTGGGGTTTGGGTGTTTTGTTTTTTTACTTTTTTTTTTTAAATATTTTATTTATTTATTTGAGAGAGAGAGAGTGAGGGAGAGCATGAGAGGGGGAAGGTCAGAGGGAGAAGCAGACTCCCGGCAGAGCCGGGAGCCTGATGCGGGACTCGATCCTGGGACTCTGGGCTCCTGACCTGAGCCAAAGGCAGCGGCCCAACCAACTGAGCCACTCAGGTGCCCTAATTTTGACATGTTAAAATAACTTTTTATTAGGAAAGTTTCCAACATAAATACAAAAATAGAGAATTGTGTAACTATCATCTCAATCAATTTTAGGATATTTTCAGCCTCCCCACCTCCCGGCAAAAGAACCCCCTGTACTCTCCATTTCCCCCAGTCTTCTAGCCTTAGGCGACTACTACCCACTTTCAGTCTCTGTAGTTGCGTATTCTGATATTTTGTATGCGTGTAATCATACAATACATGGTTCTTGACTAGCTCCTTCTAGTCAAGAGGGTTCTGACTAGCCCCTTTTCTAGCATCATGATTTTCTTTCATTCCATTAACATGGTGAATTGCAGTGATTGCTTTTTCTAAGGTTAAACTAGCTTTGTGTTTCTGGAATGAACACTTTACTGTGATGTACTTCGTGTCTATGTCTATGAGGACTATCAGTCTTACAGTTTTCTTGTAATGTCTTGTCAGGTTTCATTACGGGGATCATACTACCCTCATAACGTGAGTGGGGAAGTGTTCCTTCCCCCATTTCCTGGAAGACTTTGGTTAAGATCGGTATTATTTCTTCCTTAAATTAAATCTTCCTTAAATCTGCTAGAATTATCCATTTCTTTTTCTTTTTTGAGTTTTATTTTTGCAGAATTTCGTATGAGACTTTGCTGTTAGGTACACAGACATTTACTAATGATGAGTTGACTCTCACTGTCTTGATAAAATGTCCCCTTTTCACTCTGGTAAGTATTTTATCTTTGTCCTGGAGTCTATTTTGTCTGGTTAGTTTCCATCTAAGTAGTATTTCTTTCTTCCCTTTTTTTTTTTTTTAAATTTTATTTATTTATTTATTTGAGAGAGAGCCGAGGGGTGGGGGTGGGCAGATGGAGAGGCACAGACAGTCTCTCCAGCAGACTCTGCTAAGCGTGGAGCCTGAGGCAGGGCTCGATCTCACAACCCCGAGGTCATGACCTGAGACGAAATCAAGAGTTAGGTGCCCCTAACTAGGGTTTTTATAGGATATCTCTTTCTGTTGTCTTATTTTTGATCCAACTTTGGCCTGCACTACCCTCCACCTAGATCTTCCCCTTCGTCTCCCTGCATGGTGAAACGGTAAGTCAGCGGTGACTTTGGCAGGGGCGCCCGCACGCCTGCCTTGCTTTCTTCCAGCTTGTCACTAGAAAGGCTCTGTTCTCTTGCCTTCTGGCCTCCAGCTTTTTGGACGCACACCCAGCATCATTCACATCGTCCTCCTGTACGTGACGTCTCGTTTTTCTCTCTCTGCCAGCTTGTAAGATTTTCTCACTACTTTTGAGCCTCGGCAGTTTGTCCACCCTGCGCCCAGGTTCATTTTCTTTGTATTTGTTTGGAATTTGCTGAATCTCATAAATCTGTACCTTTTATGTTTTTCACCAAATTTGCACATTTTGGGGGCCATTATTTTTTCCCAAAATGTTATGTATACCCCATTCTCTCCTCATTGGTCCGCTTGGTATCGTTCCACAACTCACTGAGGCTTGGTTCATTTATCTTCAACCTCTTTCCTCCACATCCTTCAAATTGGATAAGTCTGTGGACTTATCTTCGAGTTCATAGCCTCTGCTCTGTCTTCACTTTGCTTGTCCAGTGAACATTTCTTCCTTCCTTCCTTTCTTTCTTTCAAGATTTTACTGATTTATGAGAGAGGGAACATGAGAGCAGGCACCAGGAGGGCAGAGAGAGAGAGGGAGAAGCAAATGCCCCACTGAGCAGGGAGCCCAATGCGGGGCTGGATCCCAGGACCCTGAGATCATGACCTGAGCCGAAGGTGGAGGCTTAATCCACTGAGCCACCCAGGCGCCCCTCAGGGAACTATTCATTTCAGTTATTTTTCTTAGTTGTATAATATCCATTTGGTTCTTTATAGTTTCCATTTATCTGCTAAGACTCTCCATTTGTCCTCCACCAGGACTAAATAACTCTCTTCCTTTGTTCCTTTGAGCTTACTTGTCACAATTCTCTTTTAAGGCCCTCGTGTTAATTTCAGTATCCAGGTCATCCATGGGATCCTTCACCATGGGTCATATTTTCCTTTTCGCACTGTATGTCTAGTAATTTTTTTTGCATATTTAACATTGTAGTAGAGACTTGGATTCTGTTACGTTTCTCTGAAAAATAATGAATTCTGTTCCGATGTGCAGTTGACTGGGCTGAGCTCAAAGCCAAACTGCTTTCCTCACGTTGGGCAGCAAAATCTCGGGGCAGTTTTTTCAGCTTCTCGCTTTAGCTTTTTGGCTAGGCTCCTGGGGTTTCCCTGTGTGGGTGTGCACACTTGCATGTCCGTGCCTTGGAACTGGGCAGGGTTTGTACATTGATTTGGGGCCTCATCCTCTCTGTGGCTGCCCTCTTTCTGGGATTTCCCCCAGCCTCTGTACCAGCCTGGGCTCTGTCTTCTGAGACCTCCATCCTGTGAGAACGCAGCTTTCTGCCACCTGATACTGAACAGCATAAGCTGGGGAGTTCCCTCAAGCAAAAAGTCACACAGTGCAAATCTCACTGTAAAGTTCCTGTTTTCCCAGGACTTGGCAGTAGCTCTCCAATCATCCGAATGCTTGTGTTTTGTTTTGGTCCAGAATTTCTATGCATTATCTCAAGGACAGCTAGTCTAGCTAAGCTACTTTGCCATCACCAAAAGCAGCAATTTTTATCCTGTTTTATCATCTGGGTTTTTTTGCAGTTAGTAACATAATAGGTGTGTCTTTCTGTACACTCACACACTCCTACTGTGCTATTTGGAACAGAGCGTGCTCTTCTGTGGATATGATGTAATTCATTTAATTGTTCCCTAGAAATTTCAACTATTCACATTTTGCTGCTATAAATAATGCTGGGATGAACATCCTTACAGTTTTGTCCATGGTTATTTCCTGAGGATAAAATCCCTACATTACCGGTCAGGGATGTTCTCTTACCGTGATCTTATAAACTGGCCTTCGGTATTACTGTACCGCTTACATTGACAGGGTTGTTTGTAACAGAATTTGCTTCTAGGTAAGTACACCGTGTTTCATTATGTCAGCGCTGGGCATCAAAATACTAAGCTGTTTCATAGGTGTGTGTCTTCCCATCTCTAAAGCTCTGGTTTGAACGTGCTTCCTTTCTGGATTTTCTGCAATGTTTGTTTCAGAGTCCTGTTCGATTTGATACCTTCGACAGCCTTTCACTGAGTATCCCAGCTGCCACGTGGGTATGTACTGAGCGATGGTTTATTTGGGGTCCATTTTGGAGACACTGAAATCTGAGCGGGCTTTGAGGCACTTTGTGTAGCCGATGTCCTGTGCGTTACTCAGGCACATGGTTGGCTGAACCTGTCTTGGTTGTCATGTGTGGTACCATGGCCCAATCTGGGGGGAGAAGAGAGTGAATGGTTTTTCTCCAGTTCCAGGAATTTCGGCTTTTTCTCAACACACACACACAAACGTATTAATCTCAAATTCAAAGATCTCTAAAATGCTGTGGGAGTCTGTAAGTTTCTGCTGTGTTATATACGTCCTCATAGCCTTGAATCCACCCATAACAGCAAGTGTAGGAAGCTTTGAGAGCTCCACATATGCTCAGGGAACGTCCAGTTGCATCTGTCAAGCTTTATTGCCCATATAAGCAAAAATAAAGCTCTGGGATCACATTGCCTTCTGTTAATAGTTACCTTGTAATTGACCGGTAATCGTGAATTTTGCTCTCCGGTGCTTAAGGGGCATCCACTGACCCTGGACCACTGCCTTCACCACTTTATCTCCTCCGAATCGGTGCGGGACGTCGTATGTGACAACTGTACGCAGGTATGCCTCTAATGCCCGGTGTCACCCCCGAGCTGGCCCGTGTGTCCTGATGCAGTACCTCTCATGCCGCTGCTCTCCACTGGCCTGAGCTCTTCCAACTAGAGCCAGGGGGGCTTTGCGGCCTCAGCTACGTAACTTGGCTGGGAAATCGGTAGCCTGTGGACCAGAGCTCTTTCCCAGATGAGTTTACTTCATCTGCAGAATATTTAAAGAGAAACTGTGAGTGTGGTGCTCTGAGATGGGAGCACTCACCTGCCAATTCTCACGGGCTTGACTCCCCTGAGTGTCCGCATGTCATCCTCTGAAGAAGAGGAACCATGGGGACCAGAATTTCTGAAGACGTAGAACAAAATAGATGACGCGCCGCAGCAGAGTTCCTTGTCATGCCGTCCTTTCTCTTGTCCCCACTGTCACTCTTACTTAACAGTAAAACAGTGAGAGCATCTCACAATTAACTGGGTAGCCGAGCTCCTTTCGCAGGTCCAAGTCAGGTGCCAACTAAATACAGACCTAACACCGACCTGGCTGCAGCCCTCCACAGACGTTTCGTTCCAAGGAATTCTGCAGAGCCATCTTTCTCTTATTTCAGATCGAAGCCAAAGGGACGTTGAATGGGGAGAAGGTGGAGCACCAGAGGACCACCTTTGTTAAACAGCTGAAACTAGGCAAGGTGAGCCCAACCCGCACACCTTGTCGGCTCTGCCCTCAGGGACCCCCCCCCCAGTCCAACACGTGGTCTCCTCTGCTTTCTCTCCCCCTGCAGCTCCCCCAGTGTCTGTGCATCCACCTGCAGCGGCTGAGCTGGTCCAGCCATGGCACGCCCCTGAAGCGGCAAGAACACGTGCAGTTCAATGAGTTCCTGATGATGGACATCTACAAGTATCACCTCCTCGGGCACAAACCTGGGCAGCCGAGCCCCAAGCCCAGCGAGGCCACGGGGCCCACCCAGGACCTGCAGGATGGGCCAGTCGCCCCCGCCCCAGGTATGTGCCTAAGGAGCCACTGCTCGGAACTTCCGGCACAGGGAAGAGGAGTCTGGCGTCACCACCTTCTGGGGCCTTTATGCCACAAGGGGAGCTAGTCTAGCGGTTGCTTGAATTCCTGAGAACAGCAGGACTGGGGGTACAGGAGGGAAGAGTCCTAAAAAGAGGTTAAACGTACATAGTAAAAAGGTGTACGGTTTTAAAAACGGTATCATAGTTGACAAAATATGGGAAGAAAAGCTTAAGATGGTTTTCTGACCTTTTGACTGAATGATAATTGGCCCCTAGCATTCCATCGAACCCAACTGGCCAGGTAGGGTCATGTCCTTTATGCAAATGTGGGGAGGAAAAGCTCTGGCTAAAGATCACACCTTCATTACTGAGCTCCTTACTGATCTCCCTCCACTTCCCTTCTCACTGGAGACTAATCACCGAGTTGGACCCCCGGGGAGACTCGGCCCCCAGGGAGCAGGTCGCTCTTAACTGCCCTCAGTCTTGCTGAGGGGAAAATCGAGGCCCCGGGAGCTGAAAGGACTGGTTTAAGGACAAACATCAGTCCGCTGGGAGAACGGGCACCAGAAGGCAGCATTGGGCAGTTTTTAAAAGCTATCTTTTCTAGCTCCTTGAGTTCTTTAGAATTACGTAGACGAGGAAAACCCACCAACTCTAAGGGCCCCGAGCCCAGACTCCCCACCTGCACCTGCTTCCAGTCCAGCCAGAGGCCTGGCTTCCCCACACCCCAGATGCTCCTGACTCAGTAGCCCCTTGCTGTGTTTAATTTCTTGCCTCCACAGTTGTGCGGCCTGGCAGGACGCCATTCACAGAAAGACTGTTTTTTACCTTTTTTCAGCAGATCTGTAAACGAACATCAGAGTCGCTGCAGTGGGAAGAGGGCTCAGTCTTTGGCTGCTATTTTATTTTATTTTTTAAAATATTTTATTTATTTATTTGACAGAGAGAGACAGCGAGAGAGGGAACACAAGCAGGATGAGTGGGAGAGGGAGAAGCAGGCTTCCCAACAAGTAGGGAGCCCAGTGCGGGACTCAATCCCAGGCCCCTGGGATCATGACCTGAGCTAAAGGCAGACACTTAGGTGCCTCGGCCGCTGTTTTAAATCCAGGCCCGGCTCACCCTGGATCCCTCCTCTCCCAGCTGGGGCTCCGGGTCTGCTCATTGCCACAGCATGCTGGCTGTGGCTACTGTACGGCCGACGGGGCCTGCTGGGTACTTACAGGCCCTTGCGTGTGACACAGGAAAAGAGAGGTCAATATCTCCTTCACTATTTTATCTACACCCATCAACATTTATCAGCATGGTTATATGTTGGTATTCTTTAGAAGCTGGAAATTAAAGAATAGAGAATGTTTAGGTAGTGGTTCTAACCAGGGAGTTCTGTTGCCCAGGAGACGTGGGGCAGTGGCCAGTGGCATTTTTGGTTGTCACAACCGAGAGACGGGTGTTACTGGCATCTGGTGGGTAGAGGCCAGGGATGCCGGGAAACACCCTCTGATGAGCAGGATAGCCCCAACAAGCAAGAGTTATTCAGCCAATGTGTCAGCAGTGTCAAGGTTGAGAAACCTTGGTTTAGGTTGAAATGCCAGTAAATTAGCTACAGCCTAACTCTGGCGGATCTTTAGCAAACGGACAGGGAGCTTCAAGATTCACAAAGCTGTCAAAGTAAGCAGCAGACCGGAAGCTAGACCCACTTTTCCTACCCTGGATTAAGAATGTCAATGACAAAAAGGTAGGGGTGCCTGGGTGGCTCAGGCCGTTAAGCGTCTGCCTCTGGCTCAGGTCATGATCTCAAGGGTCTTGGGATTGAGTCGGGCTTCTCGCTCAGTGGGGACTACAGTTCTCCCCCTCCCCTTTCCCCTGCTCACTTTGCTCTCTCTCTCAAATAAATAAAATCTAAAAAAAACAACAAACAAAAAACCCACAAAAGGTAGGAATCAACCTAACACAAAATGAACCGCTTGTTGTTTTCTTTGCGGCATTGTCGGGGAGTTAAACTCAAGGTAGTGGAGGCTGTGTTGTTTCTCCCACAGCTACTGCTACTGTAATCACCTGGAGCCTTTTTCTCTTGCAGTTCTGAATCAGCCTGGGGGCCCCAAACCACAAATTTTTATGAATGGCGCCTGCTCCCCATCTTTATTGCCTCCCCTGCCAGCCCAGATGCCCTTCCCGCTCCCGGTGGTTCCTGACTACAGGTGAGCTGCTCTGGGGAGGCACAGTCTTCATTTCTCATAGCTGCTGGTTCTGTTTCCAGAATTAGCTTTGCACAGAAACGGATGACAACACAGACATTTGTTCTTTCATCTTAAGGTGTAATCTCACTATTACACATTCCTGTTTATTTTTGTCCCAAATGGAAAGCACTTTAAAAATAAGAATTCTTGAAGTACTTAGAATTTAAATATGTATGTTCTGTGTATACATGTGGGAATACATGTATAAAGTACAAAGGAGGGAATTTCAGATTTCTTGGGACACCCCCTAGACATCAGCAGTCAAACCTTTAAGGCCTTCTATGTACACCTTAAACATTAATGGACGTCTACTCATAGGATAGGTGTCTTCCCCATGCCAGGAAGCCCCTGTCTGCATTTTAAGGGTTGTGTAGTATTCACTTGTACGAAGGTACCCTTGAATCAGTCCCCCATCACTGAACATCTAGGATTCTTTCACTTTTTGGTTTTGCCCATGACCCTTTTTTTGTGTGTGTCTGTAAACGGCTTGCCTGTGTTCCTCCCATTCAGCTCCTCCACATACCTCTTCCGGCTGATGGCAGTTGTGGTCCACCACGGAGACATGCACTCGGGACACTTTGTGACTTACCGACGGTCCCCGCCATCAGCCAAGAACCCTCTTTCAACCAGCAACCAGTGGCTGTGGATCTCTGACGACACGGTCCGCAAGGCCAGCTTGCAGGAGGTCCTGTCCTCCAGTGCCTACCTGCTGTTCTATGAGCGCGTTCTTTCCAAGATGCAGCACCAGGGCCGGGAGTACAGGGCAGAAGAATGACTGCCCTGCCTCAGAGCCGATGGCATTGTCCACGCCGGCCAGGAACCAGGCAAGATCTGACTGTGTGTGTGTGCGCAGACGGCCCCTGCCAGAGCCCTCCGCCTTCTGGGTGTTCTCAGAGCAGGCTCCGTAAAGGAGCCGCTGACCCCAGTTCAAACCAAATCCGGCCCCCTGAACAGCTCTGCGAGTGTGCACTGGGTGGTGTCCTTGCTGTGCTCCGACAGCATTCACTCTGTCTACAACGTCTTTTTACTCATCTGATACAGGTAATTAAATGAAACCCGGTTCCGGAAGCCACCTTTTTTATATTCGGCTATGTTAGGTGTTCTCAGAGGGGAGGTAACTTTGCCTAATCCTCCAGTCGGTTTCAGCATAGATCTTTTATTTTTAATAAGCAGGCCCATAAAAGGTTAAATTATTAAAGGCAACAATTTAGAAGAAAAAGTGCCTTTCCCTTTCGATTGCTTTTGTAGCACGTCCATTCTGGAAAATACACCTTGTCTGAGAGTCCTCGGAACAACTTTTGAAAAGCTCTGCTCCTTCCAAGTTTCTCCACGGAGAGCAACAGGACAGCTAAAAGATGCCTGAAGAACACCTGCCTTCTCTTTTTGTGGGTCTTTTCTAATCTTTGGATTCTTTCTATGTCATCAAAGTGCACCTGCCACATCTGGCCCATCAGCCCTGAGCTGCTTGCTGCTCGCTTCTGCTGTCAGCACGCTGGCCGGGGGACGTGATGATGGTCCGTCATTGGACTGTGAACAGTGGGCACAGAGCAGTGTCTGCGCCAACCACTCTGGACAAAGCCTGTTTTTACACGAAGCCTCCCCGCATGGGCCAGATGGACAGTTACCCTGAATTCTGTTGCCCCTGCAGTGTTCCTGAGGTTTGCAGGTGCCACTGGGGGCCATGTGAGAGGACAGTCCTTGCCTGGGTTCGGGAGCTGGGGTCGGAAGGGCACGGACCACAGGGCTGCAGTCGGGCTTCCTTGTTTAGCAGAGGGAAGGCTTAACGCTCAGCGGGCATCCAAACCCCAGCCCTTTCCACAGAAGAAAAGAAAGTTATCAGTTTGTAAAAAATGTATCCTTGCAGCTGATCATCTAGTACTGCCGTTCTGTTATAGGTCCATACTCTATACGTTTACTCGCTCCCCGCAGCCCGACACAGACTCTACTGAGCATTCCCGTCCCTCTTTGGAGAAGGCTCCTGGATACAGCCCAGCGCCACAGGGAGAGTGAGGACACGGTAGTAGCTATGTTTTAGCTAGGCTTTTTATTTAAAGACAAAACAAAATTCAAATGGACTCTTCAGAGTTAAGATTTGGAATCAGAGCTTTCTAAAAGGTCCCCCGAGGCGAGGCCGATCCCTGGCCTTCCTCCAGTGGGGGTGCGGGCTGCCAAGTGTTGCCAGCTCAGGCCCGGGTGTCCACTAAGGGAGCCAGGGGCCCGGGGCATCGCTGTCCCACAGGCCCAGCACACGCCCCACTCACAACTTAACGACTGACTGAAGGTACTGTGGAAGGTTCTATGAACCATGGACACCCGGGAGAGAGGACCCATGTGAAGCGTCCTTTCCGATTCCGTCGCAGGCCCTGGCTGGGATGTTGCCATGAGCAGAGCTGTTTCGCCCAAATCTGGAGAACAAACACCCAGTGACGTGACCTTACATCGAACCATGAAGCTGTAGCTCCCGGTTAACTGCTTTCCTGCCTCCGCTTCCTCTTTGAAACCTGCCGCTAAAGAGATGCTGGGCACGGAACGTTCAGCTGGAAGCAGATGGTGGGTCAGAGGCCGGGGTGTCCGTGTAAGGTCTCTGAGCCGGATGTAAAGCTGACGTCCTCGTTTTGTAAATTATTAGGCATTAAGTAGCAGCCACAACATCACCTTTCTAGCTTTAAGTTATTTACAGAGCAGCTTCTCTTGGCAAAAACCTAAGTTACACTAGTAGTTTATGCCATAACTGCTGATTTCTGTATTTGCTAAAGGTACCTTTTGTATCTGCTGTGTATTATAGTAATAAAAAAATCTTTTTGTTAGGAAAAAAAAAAATCAACTGGTATTCTTTCATAAATGACCAATTTGCTACAACCATCCTCTCTGAATTCTGCGTTGTTATGTAATAAGCCCCATGCTTATTACAAAGGCTTCAAAGGATGAAGCCTTTCCTATGTTCCCTGCTGGGAAAAGAGATGCCATCTCCCTCTTGGAGTAGAGAGGGAAGGAGAAAAGAGAAGTACAAACCACCGACAAAGTTTTTACTTTTTAGCGGACAGAATTTTGCGAAATGTCAGATTGACCCGTGGAGCTAGAATCTTCTTTCGTATGGGGAGACTGTGGTACCAGTGAGTGTTGGTCGGGTGGTTCATCATGAGCAAACTCCCGTGGGCCAGCTGAAGCCGGACCACCTCTACCTTCCGGGTGGGCTTTTTCCCCCGGGAATCCTTATGCCGGAAGAAGAAGTCTCTGCAGGCCCCGAAGGAGACAGAGGCTATGGGGCTCCCGGGAGCCAGTTCTCGTTCATCATCTCTGTGCTCCCCGATGTGGTCATGGCCATCCTTGTACCTGCAGTGACAACACAGGCCCAGTTTACAAAACAGCCCTTTCCTAGAACGTGCCAACAGGGCAGAATCCTCATTTTCCTACCGTGTGACAGGTGCCGCGAGCGGCTCCTGCTGTGGTTCTGCAGCGGCTAGAGGGCCTCCTCTGGGTCTGCAGATGAGCCAAGCCTGAAGCATTCCCACTCAATCTGTTCGTGTTCAATCGTGTGCTTTAAAATGTAACTCACCAAAAGCAGCCGAAAACTCATCTTGGGGTTTTCCCGGTTCATGTATGTAAACCTTTAAATGATTTCTCCCCACACTTAGAATAAAAAAACCCTGAGTCCTTGCCAGTTTGGCCCCTGCCCATCTCTGAGCTCACAATAGCCCTCTCTCCCTCCCCTCATTTGCTGCTCCAGCAGTCTCGGTGGGCTTTCCGCTCCATACACGCTCCAAGCCCCCTCTGCTCTTCCTCAGGATGTCTGTGTGTCTTGTTCCCTCTCTCCATGTAGTCTACAGCTCCAACGTCAGCACTTCAGGGAGCCCTCCGCTAACCACCTTCCCCTGAACTCAGGGTTGGAAAGCAGGGCGGTTCTCTCCCCCAGTGGATGCTCAGCAGTGTCTGGAGACATTCTGGTGGCTGTGACGGGGAGGGGATGCTGCTGGCATCCAGCAGGTGGAAACCGGGGAAGGCTGCTCACATCCCACAAAGCACAGGATGGCCCCGACAACAGAATTATCTGGCCCAAAACATCGGAGCGTTGCTGGTGCGAAACCCTGCCCTCAAACCATAAATCAGCCTGTTTAATTTTCTTCAAGACACTTAATAACATCTGAAATGATCTTGTTCAGCGGTTTGTTCACAAGAGAATCACCTCTCAACTTCCCACTGAGGCCTGGGCTCCGTAAGGACCTAACAGCAGATGCTGTCCTGGCCACATCCTTGCTGCACTGAGGTATCTGTTGTACAAATGAATAAAATATGGTGGGTCTTAACTCTAGGGAACAAACTGAGGGCTGCTGGAGGGGAGGGGGCCCGGGGGTCGGGCATGAAGGAGGGCACGTGATCTGATGAGCACTGGGTGTTCTACGCAACTGACTAATCACTGACCTCTACCTCTGAAACTAAGGTTGTACTCTGTGTGGGCTACCTGAATTTAAATTAAAAAAAAAAAAAAAAAAAAAAGATGGAATCTTAAACTCCTGCCCTCGGAAGAAGCAGATTTATACAATTTAGTCCAGTACCCTAAAAAGGAAAAGGAAAAAAACCCCAGAAAGTCACCTGTTGACAAGCACAAAGTTGAAGGTCTCTCCTGTCACCAGAGAAACACGATCCCGGACGTGCTCTAGAACTGGGATCCAGGGCTTTGGAGACAGAGTGAGGCCCGAGAACGTGTAGGTCAGCCCCGCGTTGCCATAGGTGGCTTGCTTCCTGGGCACACTGTGCCACTTCCCGAACACCTGGACCCTGGCTAGTGCACCTGCGAAGATAAAACAGGACAGCTCAGAAGAGCAGGCGGGTGAGGAGCCCACATGCTTGCTCCCTGAAGATTCAGGATCGAGTGGAAACTGAAAAAGGATTAATATTTCACTTTCTGACCGAAGACAAAAATCACTGTGGCTTGCCCAAAATGTTCACGGAAGACAGTGATCTTGTCCTACACTTAGAGAAACATGCTCTCGTCCAATTTTTTTTTTTTTTTAAAACAACATGCCTTAATTGTCTTAACTCCAGGAGAGACTTACTAATAAGAGGCTGAAATGCAAGCAAGCTGAAGTCAGGCTACACGCTAGGGTGATTCTGCCAACCGTGGGGACTAAGGGTGTGGGGTCCCCAAGAGATGAAGTGAAACAGTGAAGGCTGCAGGCTGGGAGGGGTCTTCTGTGGGCTTTATCTTTGTAAAAGATTTTATTTATTTATTTGACAGAGAGATCACAAGTAGGCAGAGAGGCAGGCAGAGAGAGAGAGAGGGCTTCCCTCTCTACAGAGAGCCCGATGCAGGGCTGGATTCCAGGACCCTGAGACCATGACCTGAGCTGAAGGCAGAGGCTTAACCCACTGAGCCACCCAGGTGCCCCTTCCATGGCCTTTTTCTCTGCCTCCTCGTGCTCTGCCACCTTGCAGGAGTTCTCCATGTGTGTTCCTGGACCAACAGGACCAACAGCATCAGCAGCACCTGGGAACAACTACTGACTGGTGGGGAGGGGTCAGGCGATCCCAGTTCTCAGAAGCAACAAGGTCTCCCCCTCCCCGCCCCCGGCCTCAACTCGGCCTCAACTCAGGGAGGAGGTGGGGGGGGGGTTGGTGATGATGCCAAGAACCCCCCTGTGGGGGAATTACCTGGTTATCTGCTGTCTCTTCTACTAGACCAGATGCACTTTACAGTCACCTGGAGGCTTTCTAAAAACACTGATGCCCAGGCTGTACACCCCTCCCCCCACCGCCCAGCTACTCCGATTCAGCTGGTCTCGCATAGAACCCAGCATCTTTTTTGTTTTTTTAACTTTCCCAGCTGATTCTAATGTCAGCCAGGTGGCAAATCACTCTCGAGTCTGTCAGCTCCTGGTAGGCAGGCAATCTTTTCTCCAGTTTGTATGCCAAGTGCCCATCATGGTGCCTGGAGCAGAGATGCCCAGAGAGTATGTGTTGAATCAGTTAATGAAGTCACCAGCAATTAATGGCTCCTGAGTTCAGATTTCTCCCAACACAAAGCACTAGTTTTTTTCAAAACAAGTCTTCAACACACACACCCTGCAAGTCCTCGGCTTACCTGTAAAATACTCCACTTCTTGCTCCAGCTTCTGGAAAATCTTGTCTGCTTCGGTTTTGCCAAACAGGACTGTGTAATCACAACTCAGGCCCTCGGCTCGGATGTGCCGCCAGCTGGGGCCGGCCGAGTGGCCTGCATTCCCCGGGGTTTCTGTCCTGGACCTTTTCCTGCTGCTCTCCTTGTCTCCTCTCAGCCCTGCTGGGCCTTCTCTGCTCTCCTCTCGCTCCCTCTTTCCCAAAAGGCCCCCTAATGCCCCCTTCACCAGGAATCTGTCCATTCTGTCTCCACAAAGCAAAGATATGGGAGCCAGCGGCAGGGCAGAGAGAGATGGGCCAGACTCTGGCCCAGATGCTTAAAAGTTTGGCTTGTTGGCCAAATGGTCCTACAGAATTCTCCTCGGTGTTTTCAAGTTCCCACTTTTAACACCATATCCTAGAAAGGAAGCAGAGTATGTTGAAGTCTGAAGGGACCCTCCGGATGTCCTGGGTCCCCCCACACCTGGCTATGCATCACAATCAGCCCGCAGGCTTGCAAAACCCCAAATGCCTGCATTCCATCCCCAAGCACCTGACCTTTTCAAGAAAGCCCAGCCTGGCACTCCTGGAGAAGGGAAGGGGGTTTGCCCAAAGTCACCCAGAGGAGATTCCCGGTCTCCTTTTCCCTCACTACCGACCAGCCTCCCACGCCAGTATCCTCTTAGGTAAAGTAAGTATAGTGATCTTCAAATGGCCAGGACTCAGAATCTGAACGCAAAACAGTTACACGTGGTCATACGCACACCAAACTCCGATAGAAAATAAGAACTGTGACGACGTTCGGGGCGGGGTGGGGGGCTCTGACACCCCAGACAGCAGCAGCGCCGCCCCCGGACCCTGCAAACACCAGAGGCGGGGCCGGCGGGAAAAAGACAACACCGGGGCCGTAAAGTCACTTCCGGGTAGATTTCCGGGGCCCGCTGGGAAATGTAGGCACTTAGGCGGAAGCAGTGTGATGAGCTGCTCCCTAGCGCCACCTGTTGGCCTCCTGGACGCGCTGCAGGCCCTGAGGGTTTTCTGCCCAGTTGCTCGGTCCCTGGCCTAGGAGGATCCTCTGTGGTTTGGGGGCTGTTGTTCGCTGTCGCCTCCGCCTGGGGATTCTGTGGGCGTCCAGACTGGGAGGTGGGCCGCCTGGTGGGAGCACGACCCCATGGCTTCCGCATTTGTCTCCACCACTCTGGCTGTGTGGTTCCTGCAGGTCGCTTGTAGCTTCACCTGCACAGTGAGGGCTATGAAACCTTCGCCGCGAGAGCCCTGTGAGGATTAGATGACGGGACCCATGAGGAATGCTTCTGCGTTCCAAATAAATGTCAGCTTCTGTCATCGCTCCTCACTTTTGATGATTCTCTGTCTCCCCCAGTGCAATGAAAGCTCCGTGGGATTTGGGAGGTCCCGAATTCTTAGTGCACAGTTCCGCAGATTTTGGCCAAAGTACAGAGTTGTGTGACCACCACCACAATCAAGATCCAGAACGGTTGTGTCACCCCACAAAATTCTCCCAAGCCTCTTGGTTAGAAACTCGCCCTTGTCCGATGCCACAGCCCCCCGCCCCCGCCGCCCCGCCCCTGGCAACCGGCAGTTTCCAGTCCTTATACTTCTGTCTTTTCCAGAATTTAAAAAAAAAAAAAAAAAAAAAAAGATTTTATTTATTTGAGAGAGAGAGAGAGAGAGAGAGAGCACAAGCAGGGGGAACAGCAGGCAGAGGGAGAAGCAGGCTCCCTGCTGATAGGAAGCCGGATGTGTGGCTGGATGCCAGGACCCCAAGTTCATGACCTGAGTGTAAGGCAGACACTTAACCTACTGAGTCACCCAGGTGCCTCTTTTCTAGAATTTCTTATGAATGAAATCATAAACAGATAGCCTTTGGTGTCTGGCCATTCATTCAGCTTAATGCTTTTAGGATGTACCCTTGTTTGTTTTGGTTGTTTCTTTTATGGCTCAGTAGCATTGTGTGGTATGGATACCCTATGATTTGTTCACCCCATCACCCCACCCCAGCTGAGGGGCCTTTGAGTTGTTTCTAGCTCCCTGCAATTACAAATGAAGTCACTGTATCCATTCCGGTATAAGCTTTTCTGAATGCAGATTTTAATTGCACTTGGGTGAACACCTAGGAGTGGGATTGCAGGGGCACATGTTAAGTGTTGTGTTTCACTTTGTATCCAAACTGAGATGTATTTCAAAGTGGCTGGAAGGGTACATGATTTTGAGGTTTTTGTTTGTTTTAAATAGGAAGATATGTAAGTTTATTTGTTTCTCTTTTTTTTAAAGATTTTATTTATTTATTTGACAGAGAGAGATCACAGGTAGGTAGAGAGAGAGAGAGAGGAGGAAACAGGCTCCCTGCTGAGCAGAGAGCCCGATGCGGGACTCAATCCCAGGACCATGAGATCATGACCTGAGCCAAAGGCAGAGGCTTAACCCACTGAGCCACCCAGGCACCCTGATTTGAGTTATGAGCTTCTCCCCTAACATATCAGGCTCCTTGCCCTAGGCACTGAAACATGATAGTAATAAGGGATAAAGTCCCTGTGATGTCGTTTTTTGGAATATAGATGAGGTTAGTTGGGGTCCCGAGCCAAGAGCCAAGAAAGAATTCTTGAGACATGTTGGGTGCAAAATAATAGTTTTGTTAAGGCACGAAGACTGGACCCACAGGCGAAATTAGCTACTGCTGCCTTCTGCTCCCCAGAGCCCCGGGACTGTGAGGAGCAACTGACTATACACTTTGCAAGTGGGGGAAGTAAAGATAAGGGAAGTTCCAAAAGCATTTTCATATACTAAATAAGACTCACAGGTCACCGGAGGCCTGGCCATTGTCAAACTAAGGTTGCTTTTCCCTCTAGCAAGGCATTGAGAACACTAGGAGCTTCCAGGAAGGACATTATACTCTGCCTGCCTCAAGTATTTGTCAGTGGGCTGCCTGTTATAAGGACATTTAATTTTCTGCCTTTCTTTCCCACATCACCTGCCCCCAGCAGGGTTAAATTTTGGAGATGGAGACAAATAAACAAGCAAAGAATGCATAAGATAATTTAAGATAGCGCAGAAGCTATGGAGTGACCAGCTAGAACGTGGGGGCAGAGGGGAAGGCCTTCCAGAGTGATGAAGGTTTAGAATATAGGTGAGGTTCAGTGGGGTGGAGTGCAGAGCTGGAGGACCAAGAAAGAATTCTTGAGACATCTGTGGTGCAAAGTGATGGTTTATTAAAGCACGGGGTCCCTCGAGCAGAAAGAACTGCTGCCCCAGGGTTGTGAGGTGGGGGCAGGTTATATACAATGGGATTGGGGGAGGTAAGGAAAAAGGTTTCAACAGAACTTTCATACACTAAAGAGAACCTACAAGATACCTGGGGCTTTGAGGCCTTTGCCATTGTCAGGTTAAGGTTGTTTTCCCCCCTCTAGCAAGGTATTTAACATAAGATGGGAGATTCGTGGAAGAATGTCACACAGGTCCCAACCAGGGAGGGGAGGGGCAGGGTATCCTCTTCTGCTCCGTCCTCAGCTTGCTTTGTTCCCTTATCAAGAGGAAGGGACCTGAGTTGAGACCCAAAGCTTACCAGGTAGGGAGACAGCCCGTGCAAGAGAGTACAGGCCACACAAGGGAAAGCTGGCGATGGCAGTCACCTCACAGTAGTAGGGGCTTCGGTTAGAGGGAAACAGCTCTGCCAGCCGGGTAAGAAACGGGTTTATTCTAAAATTTGGAAACCGTAGGGAGAATTGTTACGCCGGGATTACCACGACATAATTTCCATCTCAAAAAGATCCCTCTGGGGGCGCCTGGGTGGCTCAGTGGGTTAAGCCGCTGCCTTCGGCTCAGGTCGTGATCTCGGAGTCCTGGGATCGAGCCCCGCATCGGGCTCTCTGCTCTCTAGGGGAGCCTGCTTCCTCCTCTCTCTCTCTGCCTGCCTCTCTGCCTGCTTGTGATCTCTCTGTCAAATAAATAAATAAAATCTTTAAAAAAAAAAAAAAAAAAAAAAAAGATCCCTCTGAATAAAGAGGAGAGCAGCCAGGGAGTGTAGCTAGGTGATGAAGAGCGGCCGTCGAATCTGGGGTTTATTTTGCAGATAGAACCAAGAGGACCCATTGTCGGTTGGGATGTGGGGAGGGAACGCGGAACAAGAAGGACGGCGGGTGTGTGTGGGGGGCGGTGGTGCCTTGAAGAGGATGCGGAGTTTGGAGTTTAATCTTCAAGACCTCAATTAAAGTCTCCCCCAGACCTTACAGGTTAGGCAAAACGCACGACCGCACCTGGCTCTAGCTTGCTGTCAGTAAAATAAGTTTTGTGAAAACAGGATGAGGACCTGTACCTGAGAGCAAAGCAAAGGACTGTTTTAATGCTAATTTCACTCCCACGACTACTCCTCGGGGCAGGTGCTTTTTTTTTTTCTCCTTTTCCCCGCGGCAGAGGCAGAGGGACGAGCCCCAAGGCAGGGGTGTGATGGCTGAGTACTATGAATGAAAGAGTAAACTCCGGAGCGGGCGCACCCAAGGACCCCGCCTACCACCTGACGCTTTCAAGCCCTACTTGGTCCCAGGGGCCTCTCGCAGCAGCCCCTCTGGCACAGGCGCACTAGGCCCCTCGCCGCCCCCCGTTCCCCCTCCCCGCCCCGGTCGGAGCATGCGCGAGCCGTTTGGCGCCAATTTCGGATCGCCGCAGCTGGCTCAGACGGCTGGTTCTCCGAGCGGCGTGCGGCCGCTCTCCTCGGCTCCGGGATGATCGGCCAGAAGACCCTCTACTCCTTTTTTTCTCCCACCCCCGCCGGGAAGCGACGTGCCCGCAGTCCCGAGCCGGCCGACCCGGGGACCGGCGTGGCGGCGGTGGCTGAGGAAAGCGGGGATGCGGCGGTGAGGCGCGACGGGGACCGGGCACCGGGGGCAAGGGACGGGGAGGAGGGCGACGGGCCCCGCTTGGCCGAGGGGTTGCAGGGACGCGCCACCGACTCGGTAAGCTGGGTCCCTGTGTTCAAAGCAGACTGCACGTGTTCAAAACAGCCCGTGCTGTCCCCTGTCGGCGGCCATTCTGAGGGGCCAGCCAATGGGGATGGACCTCGGGGCCCGCGGCGCCAATCAGAGGCGAGGGAGCCTCCTTGCTCGGTTCGCCGTCCAATCAAGAGGGGAGAGAGGCGGGACTCACCACGGGAGGGTTTTGCCGCGAAAAGACCACGTGGGGACGCAGGGGGCGGGCGCCGGGGTCAGGGCCTCCCTTCCCGCCAGCGCCGCGGGAGACGTCGCGGACCTAGCTCACCAAACCCCTCTCGCAGCCGCATCTTAATACCAAACTCAGTACTGGGGGCAGCAGTCAGCCTTCCCGGACCCGACTCCCAGAGTTCGGTTTTGCTGCGACTTGCCCGGTGGGGGCTGGAGCCCCGCAAATGGGCTTGCTCCGCCATGGGCCGTGGGGTTGGGGGCGGCATCTGCGGGCGCCTGGGCGTGGCCCGCTGCAGCTCGTGACCCGCCTCTGCGGGGACCACTTGCAGGCAAGTCCCCCCAAGAAGGCCCGGGCCGGGCAGGAGGACCCCAGCACGCCGCCCTCCTCGCCGCTGAGCCCCGAGCAGTTGATCCGTATCCAGAGAAACAAGGCCGCCGCCCTGCTCAGACTCGCCGCGCGCAACGTGCCAGTGGGTTTCGGTGAGAGTTGGAAGAAACCGCTCAGCGCGGAGTTCGGGAAACCGTATTTCATCAAGGTAAACCTGGAGGCTGCGGGCCCTTTGGTCTTGCTAGGATAGCCTGCAGAGTCCACGTTTGTAGGCTCCCGTATTCCCTCCCTTAACGTCCTTTTCCCGGTAAAATAGTAAAATAACAGCCACGGTGTTTTGCCTACTGAGGCTTTATTGAAGTTTTTAAAAAAGGCTGTAAGATGGCATGGCTCCTTGTAAACCGTTCAGCGGGTCTGCTCTCCAGGAAAGAGCTGCACGGTAAAACCGCAAACCAGACTGTGAAACCCGGTGCATCCTTTACAAAAAGAGGGAGGGGCTGACACCAATAGTAAGTGAGAGCAGAGAGGCCAGTCTACGTAGACCTGGTCCAAACAAAGGGGAAGGGTGCCAAAGCAGACTGGGGATCTCTTTGGCGACCTGCAAGTCTAGTTTTTGTTTCTCAAAAGAATATGCCTATACAACGTGGCAGAGAGTTAAATAGTGTTTCTTCAGTTAGCCTCCACTGGAAGCCTCCTTACTGAATTCTTAAACTTGGCGGTGAGTCTGATTGGAAATCTGATTTGTCTTTACCGTCAGCTAATGGGATTTGTCGCGGAAGAAAGAAAACATTACACTGTTTATCCACCCCCACACCAAGTCTTCACGTGGACCCAGATGTGTGACATAAGACATGTAAGTACCTGTGGTTGGTGAGTGTAAGTAAAAGAGGCATGGGAGTCAAATAGTATGCAATTGTTAATTACTTGCGCGCGTGCGCGCGCACACACACACCCCGCAAGTGCCTGTCCCTGCTGGGGTAATAAAAAAATACCGAAATATTTAGCCTGTTAGCTATCTAACTTTGAGTATGTGTGGCCATGCAGCCAAAAAAAAAAAAAAAAAAAAAAAAAAGAGTGTATGTAGACCTGTGTCTGTATGCTCTAGTTTTTTGTATTTAATCCTGAACCAACTACATGCCAACGTGGGGTCTTAGGGTGGTGTTGAGGAAACAGGCATGAAGCATTGAGGTCTTTTGCAACTGGTTAGCACAGCCCCCCCCCCCCCCTTTCACTTGCAGCTCAGTATTTCTGTGTGACCCATGCTGTCTTTTATAGTTGATGCTTTCAAGCTCTTGACTTCTGGCGCATCCGTCTTACTATTCTGTTAGCATTCCTTTGCTCTGGTTCATTCTGTGTACAGGCTGCTGACCAGCTGGTCTGTCTCTTCAGTCTCCTCAGAAACTGGTTTACGGCTTTCAGTCACTGTATGAACGATGGAAGCTGAACATGAAAATAGCCCTGTTCGACCTTCCAGCCTCCTCTTCACCCCCAACTCTCCTACTTAAAGAGTTGGCAAGTGTGACAGTTTTCTCTGTTGAAAACCCAACTAGATCCATCGATGGCAACTCCCTTGAAGCCTGTTGCTTGAAGCCACTACCATTCTGATCTTATCCCTTTCTCTCCCCCATTTTGTAAGCTGAAGGCAGGAATCCTGTGATTTCATACCGTGTCTGTTAAACCAAATGGAAGTGAAGTAGGTGAATGACCCCTGTGGATAAAGCTGCCATACCTAAAACTTTGCAGACTTGACCATTTTTCACTTCCGAGCAAGAACTTTGAATATAGCTCTTGGTTTTATAAAGTCAAAGAGATTTAAGTCCTTTTTTTTTTTTTTTTTTTTCCTTTTTAAAGATTTTTTATTTATTTGACAGAGCCCCAGCGAGAAAGGGAACACAAGCAGGGGGGTGGGAGAAGGAGAAGCAGGCTTCCCGCTGAGCAGGGAGCCCGATTCGGGGCTCGATCCCAGGATGCTGGGATCATGACCCAAGCTGAAGGCAGACGCTTATCAACTGAACCACCCAGGTATTCCCGGACTTAAGTCCTTTTAAATTCAGTCCTAGTTTGTGCCTTGTTTGATCTGTGGGTCCTGTTTTGAATGCCAATGCCCAGTGTCAACAAGGAGGAGTAAGAGAGTATGAAAGTTCTGAGTATCTGATGGCCTAGCAGATCCTCTTTGCAGAGAAGCATATGGAAGGTCGGAAAGGTTAAGTGGCTCCTTCAAGGTCATCCCTTATTCAGGACTAGAACCCAAAAGCTTTCCTGCTGGGACCGGCTGATTCATAAGGGAGAATGTGCTGCGTTCAGAATGAGCACCAGTGGTTGCGAGAGGGAGGTCCACAAAAGGTTCCTGGTGTCTGAAGGTTGGGATTTGAAGGATGTAATGTATGTTGGCTATGGGAGGATTCTGAGAAGGAGCACCATGGGCAGAAGCAGGAGAGTGAAGAAGAGGTAGGCAGGCAGCAGATTAAAGGGCTAGCTGTATCTTAACACTACGCCTGACCTTGATCTCATTACATTTCATTGCATGTTGCCACCTTCTCCATGGCCCTTTGACCTCATTGTCTTCATCCCTCAGAGGATGTGGGGAAGAGGCATCTTCATGGGTGGGTAGTAGGGAATTTGGTAGCTTCAACTCACAGAAAAGTAGTTTGGTACATGTCTATGAGAATTTAAAATACACTTGTCCTTGGACTAGCACCTCCTCTTCTGAATCTGTTTCATAGAAATAAAAACAAAAAAGGACATAAAGATAAGACATACTAGGATATTTGTGGCACTTTTTTTGATGAAAAAAACTAGGAAACAAGCCACCTGCCTACCAGTGACTGCTCTAGAGGCGCAACGAAGGATGCCTAAAATGCATGATGTGAGAAGCACAAACATATAGGGTGATGAGTACCATGACCCCAATTATATAGGTAACTTTACAGGGTTGAATCAGGAGGGGGTAGGGATGAGTGGGAGACAACGAGCCACTTTGTGTGTTTCTGGATGGTTGTCCTTGGGCCAAGGGCATATTTCTGTAATCTGAAAAATGAAGGAGGTGGACTTGTTTTCACCCACTTGCATCAAAGAAGGAGTAGGTGTAGCAGGTGATGGAGTGAAGGATAATTTGACAGTGGAAAGTAATGGGTCCCAGTGATGATGACCCACTCCCTTCTGGGGGTTCTTAGTTTGGGTCAGGGAGAGGCGGGCCGCCTTTCTCATCATCGTGCTCCTTTGTACAGGTTATCAGCCAGGTGTTTGTTTAACCTGCTCGTGCGATACTATTGAATTTCTTGCCACCTGGTATTCACAGGTGAAGGTTGTCATCCTGGGACAGGATCCGTATCATGGACCCAACCAAGCCCATGGGCTCTGCTTTAGTGTTCAAAGACCTGTTCCACCGCCACCCAGGTATGATTATGGCTTGGGTCCAAGTGTGATTACTTTTGGATGTGTACTTTGCAGGCTCTAGGTACACCTGGGGGGGAGACTTACAGTGTGGCCTTTGGAGCAGGGTTTCTTTGTCTTGTCAGTGTTGACATTGGGGGTTGTGTTTTTGTGCCGGAGAGGTTTTGTTCTGTGCGCTCGCTTCAGGATGCTGAGTAGCACGCCTGGGCTCACCCACTAGATGCTCACAACACTGACCCCGCATCCCCCACCCCCTCCAGAACCAGAGAGCACTAGTAAAATGGCAATGAGGAATGTCTATAGACCTTGCCCAAGGTCCCCTGGGGGGCAGAATCACCCGTGGTTAAAACCCACGGCTTTGGGGAATTTTACAGATGCCCCTTGTGACTATAACCAATGCAGAAACTTATCAAGCCATAAGCATTAGTTGAAAGGTCGTTAACTTCTAGGCTGATACTTTTAAAACTTCTGAAGCATGCTCTTCTTATATCTGAGCCTAGACCAAAGGTTTTTTTTTTGTTTGTTTTTGTTTTTTTTAAATATTTTATTTATTTATTTGACAGACAGAGATTACAAGTAGGCAGGAGAGGCAGGCGGGGAGAGAGGAGGAGGCAGGCTCTCCGCGGAGCAGAGAGCCTGATGTGGGGCTCGATTCCAGGACCCTGGGATCATGACCTGAGCCGAAAGCAGAGGCTTTAACCCACTGAGCCACCCAGGCGCCCCTAGACCAAAGATCTTTGACAAGGTTGTATCAGAAGGAACGGTGGTGCTTCCTCATAAATCCTCCAGGTTCATGCTGCCCTCCCCTCCAAGGGCTGGTGGTGCTGGCTGTGATCCACAGATCTGTTGGAAGCTACTGAATTTTCAGACTTGTGCTCAAGATCCTGTTCTTTTTCTTCTGGTTTGCTTTCAGTTTGGAGAACATTTATAAAGAGCTGTCTACAGACATAGAGGGTTTCGTTCATCCTGGTCACGGAGATTTATCCGGGTGGGCCAAGCAAGGTGAGCCAACCACTCCGAGATGTGCTTTGGACAGATTTCAGCACACTTTTCCTTCTGTCCTGCTGGCTTATGTTTATCAAGGAACAGGAAATAAATGGCTGCGTGTACAGAAATAAAGATGTATCCCCCTTTTTATTTTCTAGCCAATGTTTTCTTTCATGTTTTAATCATAATTCAAAAGAGAAATTTGTTTCTCAATTTTATTTATTTATTTATTTGTTTATTTATTTATTTATTTATTTTTAAGAGATTTTATTTATTTATTTTACTGACAGAGTTCACAGGTAGGCAGAGAGGCAGGCAGAGAGAGAGAGAGAAAGGGAAGCAGGCTCCCTGCTGAACAGAGAGCCCGATGCGGGGCTCGATCCCAAGACCCTGGTGTCATGACCTGAGCCCAAGGCAGAGGCTTTAACCCATTGAACCATCCAGGTGCCCCAATTTATTTTTAAGTTTATTTATTTTTAATCTTTACGCCCAACATGGGGGCTTGAACTCACAACCCTGAGGTCAGGAGTCACATGCTTCTCTGACTGAGCCAGCCAGGTGCCCCCTTTTATTAATATTTTAAATTTAACTGCTAACTTTGACCACTTAGGAGATGACCTCACCTTTCTCATTTCAATAATAAGGCTGTGTTTTTTTGTGTTTAATACCTATTTACAGGTGTGTCTTTCTCCCTTTCTTTCCTCCCTCCTTCCCTCCCCGCCCCCCCCCCCACCACCACCCTTCCTTCCTTCCTTTCTACAAATGAACTATAACCAGGATAAGTAAAGAATGTTTACCGTCTGGTTTCTTACAGTTGGATTTTTGTTTCAGTGAAATATTTCAGCTTCCATTTGTTATCTTCTAGGGTTACTTAATGTTACATGGGATACACATACCTGTTTTTAAATTTTACTTTGAGGGGCGCCTGGGTTCCTCAGTCGTTACGTGTCTGCCTTCGGCTCAGGTCATGATCCCAGAGTCCTGGGATCGAGCCCTGCGTCAGGCTCCATGCTCAGCCTGCTTCTCCCTCTCCCACTCCCCCTGCTTGTGTTCCTTCCCTCGCTGTCTCTGTCAAATAAATAAATAAAATCTTTGATAAAAGATTGAGAGAGAGCCAGTGAACAGGGAGAGGGGCAGAGGCAGAGAGGACCTCAAACAGACCTCCCACTGAGCACAGAGTCCAACGTGGGGGGCTCACTCTCTCAATTCCAAAATCATGAGCCGAAATCAAGAGTTGGATACAAGCAACTAGGCTGCCCAGATTCCCCTTGGAGTGTATTTTTAAAACAACTCTGATGACAGATGTAAGGTACAATCACTGTTAAAAACTCAGAAGATGATGAAATTACAGAGGTTAAAGTTAAAGGCTCTGTTTTCTTGGCTTATTTGTCTCTTAACCTGTTTCTTTGGTGTGTGTCCATAGGTGTTCTCTTACTCAATGCTGTCCTCACCGTCCGGGCACATCAGGCTAATTCTCACAAGGAGAGAGGTTGGGAGCAGTTCACTGATGCGGTTGTATCCTGGCTAAATCAGAACTCCAGTGGCCTGGTCTTTTTGCTCTGGGGCTCTTACGCTCAGAAGAAAGGCAGTGCCATTGACAGGGTATGGTGGTTTTGTTTTTTAAACAGTTTAAACCAGTTTAGAAAATCCTAGGAATCCCTGCTATGTGGTCCTGGAAAACCCATGTCACAAGGTGAAATTCATTTTCCCTAAAGGCTTATAGTGAGGGTCGTGTTTCCCATTGAAAATTAAGCAAAATTCAGACAGATTATAGGCATGATGAGTTGTGTGTGAGGAAAGCGAAGGGCCAACTTCAGATGTACTAGAGTTAGTACTACAGGCATACGCTTCCCACGTACATAGATTAATAACAGACTCTACTCACTAAATGCGGTGCAGTAAGTGATGAAGAAGGCAAGGACCCCACATCCCCAAACCATCCTTTGTTCCCCCACCCCCCATGTGCTCCTCTGTTTCTTCTCTGTTTATTTACAGAAGTACCAACATTCCTGGTGCTGAGATGAAAAACCAGAAGCCATCCTTGAATCCTTCCCCTCATCCCTTTAAACCCATTCCACCAGCAAACCCTGTCCCCTTACCTCCTGAGAACATACCAGTCCTGCTGCTCGCCATTGACCCTGTTCCCTTGCTGGAGTGAGCCACTGTCACTTCTTTCTAGGCTGTGACAGACCAGAGCTGAGGGTTGGATGGAGGACAGCATGGTGGAGGAGGAGAGATGGGGGCAGGAAGTGGGGGCAGGGGAGGCAGATATGAAAGGCGAGCCTTGGCTGGGGCTCCTAGGAGACACAGGACTCAGAAGTGAGAATCAGGGAGAAGTCAGCGAGTAAACGCTGCAGTGAGTGAGGTAAAGGGGTTCAGTGAGGTGACCTGACAGTAGCTTGTGTGACAGCAGGAAGTAGCTGGCATGTCACTTGGATTGAGTCCCCCTCCCTGCATCCAGCATCACACCCAGCACTTTACCTGCAGAATCTCGATTAATGCTTCATAAAGTATTAAAGTGAGAAAGTTGCAGTGGGCGGCGGGGCCGAGGTCAGAGCCTCTGCTCGCCTTGCTCACCTAGGGGCCTGGTGGGTGTATTCGGGTTCTGTGCTGGCCACCCAGTCCGTAGCCTGTCCCACTTCTCCATTTTCTCTTAAATGGAATTGGTTTTCATCCTAGGTTTTTGTTTTATTTTATTTTTTTAAGGTAGTAGGTTCACATGATTAAAAAAAATAAAACAGGATAGTAAGGTACGCAGTGAGGAGTTTCCCCACTGAGTCCCCTCTGCTCAGGGGCCTGCCTGGCGCGGATGGCTGCTGGCGTGGAGTTTCTGATGTCGCCTTCCCAAACCTTGATGGGAACGGCAGTGGAGTGTGTGAGTGCGGTTGTCTGTAAAGTTTCTGTGGGAATGAACAAGATCTTTTCAGGTGTTTTGAGGAAGCGAATAGTAGGAGTAAGATCTGACGTGAATGAACTAGCCGCTATGATCAGTGTCGAGGTCAGGAAGGGGTCCCCGGGAGTATTCACCCATCTGCGCATGGTCTGCGTAGCTCTTCCTCTGCGTGTGTGTAGCTTTTATTACTGAAAATGGTTGGCTTTGACAGAAAGCTGTTGTAAGAGTAGCCTGACAATCAGAAGCAACTAGGCCAACTGGCTCCAGGCTCCGGGTTGTGCACCACACTGGGCTACCTGCCTTCAGATGTGGCCCCTCCGAGACTGAACTGTTCAAAGGCAGGGATGTTGTGAAAACAATTATTTGTGAGGTGGTTTTCATTTAAATACAAAAAAGAAGAAAATAAACTTGGCCCAGTCTTTCCTGCTCGGAAAGTATGGCTGATATTTAAAAAATCATGTATGCTGGTTTTGTAGACCATACAGGTTACACAGAAAAGTGCAAAATGGAAAGTAAATGCCTTCCACTATTTTTCCTCAAGGAACTACTATAAATACCGTTTGGGTCTTTTTCCAGAAAAACTTAGGCAATTTACCTTTTTTTCTTCCACTTGATATATCTAGTCCTCCCTTAGCATGTGTAGCTCAGCCTTATTTTTCTAGTAGCCTTGTGGTGTTCCATTGTAAGAAGTTCAGAAAAGTCCTTTTAGCCAGTTGCATAACACTGGACTTGGATGAGCTTTTACCTGATAATAGGCCATGCTGCCATGGACCCCTTCACACCTGCATCTTCTTACGGGTATACGCATCGTGGGGCCCTTGAGCAACTGCATTCTTAGCAGTGGGATTGTGGGGTCCTAAGGTCGGGGGCTGTGGCCATTGCATAGATGGTGCCTTCGTAGCCAAATGTGCTGCTGGAGATTCCTTCTCTCCTTCTCTTTCAGAAACGCCACCACGTGCTGCAGACAGCCCACCCCTCCCCATTGTCGGTGTACAGAGGGTTCTTTGGATGTAGACATTTCTCTAAAACCAATGAGCTGCTGCAGAAGTCTGGCAAGGAGCCCATCAACTGGAAGGACCTGTGACTCTGACCTGGGCAGTTTTCTGGAAGCTATCAAAGTATTTGCCAGGAGTGACCGCATGACCCAGACAGAAGCCTCCAGGGCTCTCTACCCTGGCTGGGACTATATGGCTCTCTTTGCAACATGACTTTGGCCTAAAACCTGCTGTCACGGTGTTTGGGAGAGGGTGGGGGGTCAAATACAGAGACAACTTCTGTCACCTTATGGGAGAAGGGGACAGGGGACAGAAGCACCTCTTGGTACAGTCGGCTGCTGTTTGTTTTTACCTGGTGGGTTAGACTTTAGGTTAAGGGTGTCGGGTGTTTTTATCAAACAACCCCCCCCCCCCCCCCCCCCCCGCAATGCCCTGCCTGGCATTCCAGTTCTTAGCCAAGTAAATCTGTTCCCTCCATCCTTTCCTGAGCCCTCAGGCCCCCCCTCCTTGAAGGAAGCAGGACAGTTTGCAAGTGCCTAGAAATTGAAGAATGCTGTGTGAGTCTTCACAGACCAGCAGAGGGAAATGAGCTGGGGCTTATTTTCATAGTTAATTCTCTGGGTGTTTCTAGGAGTGAGCAGTGGAAATTGAAGAAAGGGGGAATTTTTACTTTTTTTTAAGCAAGGAAATGCTTTTCTCCTAGGTTTTTAAGGCAGCACAGACTGCCAAAGCCGGACTGAAATCACGTGGGGATTTTTTTTTTCCCCCTGCAACACTGGTGAATTTTACTGTTTTAGAAATATGCAGATGTATATATATATTTTGTAATTTCCTGTTGGGGAGACAATCTTCGTTAGGTCCGCACCTCCATCCTAGATCCTGTTGGGGATGCTGTTGATATGTTAGCCGGGGAAAGAGTTAACCCCGACTGAGTATGGGAATAAAAGATTGTTGAAGTTTCACTTGGTGCCTAGTGCCCTTAATGCTAGTTCCCTCTGCACCCACGGGCCGCTGCGGACGTCCTTGGGCCGCCCTTGGGCCCGGGTAGTTGGTCGCCATGGCAACCATTGTGGGCAGGAAGGGCCGCCCCTACACAGCCCTTCCTCCTTCCTCCCTCCTCCTGCCCCGCCCCTCGGATGGAGCCGCCCACCCTCCAGAGGCCGGGTAAGCCCTGGGCGGATTCCCGGGAGGGGCACGAGCAGGTCGGTGACCTGGGGGATGCCACCTGACCCCCTACCCCCAGCCAGGAGTCGCGGAGGCCTTGAAGGGGCCATTTGGGGCTGGTGAAAAGCGTTTCTCCTGCGATCACGGCTGCGTGTCCTGCCAAGACCCGGGACAGTGCAAGGGGAAACACTCTGCTAGTGTTTCCAGACTGCCCTGCAAGCCTGAGGGCAGGGCACTGGGAAGACGCCCTGAGGGGGGTGGACTATCACGATCAAAGCTTGGACTCTCCTGGTGTGTGATAAGGAAGCCAGAAGTACAGGGAAAGGCCTGGTTAACACGTGCGGGTATTTCAATGGCTGAGGAAAAAAAAATGCATCTAATGAGAAAAGACCACCTCATTTCTTTTGGGGGAGGGGGGACAGATTTGGAAACCATTGCTGGAGAGCATTGCTTCCCATCCAGGCCTTCCTTTTGACATGAGACGGAGGGTGTGATAGCACATGGTGCCATAAGCAAGCAGGCTTTCACAGAAGGAAGGTGAGCGGCAAGGATGCGCTCTCAGTTTGCCCTCTGGTAACTTTGGGGGCCTCCCTTACAGTACAGTGGACTTACTGATCTGAGAGAAAGGAAGGAATCCTATCAGCTTGGCTTTCATAAAGGATTCTCTCTCAAGGCGGGGCTGTGAACAGGGAAGAAGCCACGAGCTTTGCATCACCATGAATCAAAGAGCGAACTCATGTGCCTTTTCTTTTTTAATATAGTAGAACATCCAGTGATGCTTTAAACTGAACACAGCTGTGTGTTAAGTGGTTTAGGACACCCCCCCCAAAAGAAATGCAGGTTTAATAACTTGTTTTTAAGAAGGCTCATTTTGACGAACTTTTAGCTACATAGTTGTGGGTTCTTCCTAAACATTTTTGGATGTGTTATGATCACAGCATCGTATTTGCAAAAATGATTAAAAGGCAATCTTGGCTTGTTAGGTTGGGGGTCAGCATACTTTTTCTGTATAAAGGGTTCTATATAGTAATTTAGGCTCTGCAGTTATCCTGCCCACGAGAACCGCTCCACTCCCTGTTGTAGAGACAGCAGCCACGTGCAGAATGTAGGTATGCAAGTGCAGCTGTCTTCCAATAAAACTAGGGACACTGAAATTGGAATGAATAGGATTTGTACGTCATGAAATCTTGATTTCTACCCCTCCCCCCTCCAGCATTTAACAAACGTAAAAACCACTCTTAGTTTGAGAGCCGTAGGAAAACAGGCAGCATGGGCCACAGGTGACAGAGCCCTGTTCTAGGAGCTTCCACCCAGATGTCTGCAATGACTGCCCACCGGGCACAAATACTGTGTGCCACCACTGGGCAGTTCTGTGTGGCCCGTTGTGGGATCGTGTGAAAATCCTGCTCAGAATGATTCTGTCCCTCTTCTCAGACAAGGAGAAGAGCATCTATTGAGGGCTTTCAGAAAACAAGGAAGTCAGTTACTCCAAAAAGTCCTGCGAACCCCAAGTTATAAAATAATAGTGTGGACGTCACTATCTGTGAACTCAGTCCGGCAGGGCAAAGTCAGAGAATGGGAGGGTTTTTTTTTTTAGACTTTAGCATGTTGTTAATATGCTCCCATGAATACATAATGCATTCTGTCCTTCCTAAAATTCATTCTCTGCTTTGGTTTGCACCTAGAATAAAAAGTCTTAGAGTTTGGGACTGGAGAAGCAAACTTTACGAGGCATAAATGTGGCAGTGGCTTTTCATCCTTGTCGATCCTTCAAGACACATACAAGGAAAAACAGGTAGGGTTCTCTGTGCTACTTCGGAGGGGCCTGGCTTGTTGTCTGATGGTGAGCCAAGCTGAGAAAAGTCTGGAACTTGGGTGGTCTCTCTTCCCACGTGGGAGTCCTAACACACTTTGAACCTGGGTTTCACAACCTCAGGTCAGTCACTGTGTTGATGATCTTGGTTGGAATCTTAAAATTTTTTTTTAATATTTTATTTTATTTATTTGACAGAGAGAGAGAGAGAACAAGTAGGCAGAGAGGCAGGCGGGGGGGGGGGGAGTAGGCTCCCTGCTGAGCAGAGGAGCCTGATGTGGGGCTCCATCCCATGAACCTGAGATCATGACCTGAGCCAGAGGCTTAACCCACTGAGCCACCCAGGGCCCCGGAATCTTAACATTTTTGAAGTATGTTTAGAAATGCAAATGTTGGTGAGGGGGGAAGACGAGGAGATCAATAAGTTGCATTCTTTGGTATTTCCTGAATCCCGTTCATCTCAGCTAGTGGCATTTGTGGTGGGGAGGGAGGATCCAAAGGCTTTCAACAAGCTCTTAGTAGGCCTTAGACATTACGGTAGCACAGATGCTCGCCTGGGTGAGGCAGGCAGGCCAGGCCGGAGGACCCAGAGGTCTACCACGAGAGTCCTTGGCTTTCATGCAAGGTGGAAATCAAACACAAGCTGGCAGGAAGTGAGAGCAGAGTTTATGGAAGACAACAGAGCCAGAGTGTCTGGAAGACTTGGAAAAGAAAAGGAGCATGAGTCTCGTTTTTGCCTGGAGTCTGGGGTTTTTACCGACTGACTGTGGTCTCGGCACGTGTCCTCCCAGGCATGTAGGAACTGGTGAGAACAAGGACAGGGTCCATCCTAAGGTTCTTATTCCCTGGAGCTAGCGGGTCTGGGGGTCAGGCCTTCTAGTGCCAGTGGTCTGCAGTACGTACATGATGGCTTCGTGTGGTCCTTCCTGAGATACATTGTTGTGTCCTGGAAGACTCCAAAGATAACCATTAACTTCCTGTCCCTTGCAAGGAGGACGCATATTTAGGCATGGGTAGGGCAGGGGTGCAGGTCCTAGCAAGACTAAAAGTAGGAAAAGACATAGAGAAAGAAAATCAGCTTTTTCTTTCATGGGGTCCCTTCAGTTTCCCTGTCTCATGGGGGAAACTAAAAAATATCAACACCAGGCTCACTCCCAGAAATTGTAATTTAACTGGTCCTCAGGGAGAAGAGGAGACATCAGTATTTTTACGAAGCATCCAGTATATACAGGACCAGCAGCCTCTTTCTGGATGCCCCATTTTCCTCATGTGGTGTGGTCACTTAATTTTTTTCTTTTTGGCAATAATGATACTTAGGACTTTCTGAATCTAAGATCTATTTAAAGAAGTCTGTTTCTCTATGAATGTTCTTGTGTGTGGTGGGAAAAGTTCATGAACGTGCTCACTGGTTTCCAGCCCACCATTCAGCTTCTAGGAAATACCTATGACAGTAAAGAGAGAGACAGTGTTGAGGGGTAGTTGAGCTACCAAAATGAGGTGTGTGTGTGTGTGTGTGTGTGTGTGTGTGTAGGGGGTGTGGGGAGCATTTGTAGTCTTTTTGAAAGTAAGGAGTTTCATTAGGAAGCCATTACAAAGCACCTTTAAAAACAAGCCACCATGCAGAAGTTTGGCATATGTGATTTTATTTCCTTTCCCCAAACCACGTGGTAAAATAGCTGGATAAGGCAGCAGGCTCTGCCATTTGCCCAGAGCCGCAGGTAGAGGAGTTAGGACTCGAACCCACGTGAGCCTGATTTCAAAGCCCTGTCGCTTTTCCACTACTTACACTCTGTCCCAATCACTGTTAGCGATGCTCTCAGGGGACTTCTGAATGGAGTTGATACAGAAGTTCCCTAAGTCACCGATGGCTCTCCCAGGAGAAACGGGACATGTCTGTAGTTGAAAAATGTGCCTCATTGAGAGGACTGTGCGAGCTACTCCTGAGTGACTGACGGCGTTTGGATGAGTCTCCAAAACCCCAGCCTTGGGGCTGCTGACCAGGGAGGGTGGAAGGTGTATGGGCCATGCACTATGAGCTCCGCTCTCATAAGACGGATGATTTCACCCTCTCCTCCTCTAAAGCGTGTGTGGTGCTGTCCCATAACACAACACCCATGTGTTACAGCCGGTGGGGTCAGGGCCTAAGAGCGGGCGCAAAGCGCGCTTCCTGCTTACAAGTCCAGTGGAGAAGATCCGGAGTCCAGTGTGCTGACTTTTCCTTTCTGGAGGATAGGCCCGCACAGGAAGTCACCCTGGCTGCACCTGTCCACGCCACCATTTAAACCGCTTTGCATAGGTTCAGGCTCTTTTTCTCTTTTTCTACCTGCTCCTCAGTGAGGCACATCCTGGGTTTCCTGAGATCGTGGCCCCTGAGCTGCCATTCCCCCTTTTGTCAGAGCACAGCGCCCTTTTG